CTTAATTGACTGGTTAGCTCGTGTATTATTTTTAAATAGTCATTTATACCTCAACAAAAAAAAGAAGTCATTTCTACCTTTTTTTAATGTAAACATAAAAAATGTATATGTTCAGTATGTATGTTCACTATTGTATTTATGGTAGTCTATTAGCCACTCTATAACATTACTAATGTTGTATATACAAGTTGTTAGTTTTCTCAGAAGGGAATATTTTGTTATGACAAAGTAAGAAACAAAAATTATAGTTTCAAATGTAATATATTCATAACATCATATAACAACACAAAAGTTAGCACAGACAAATTGGTTCTAATTTTGAAAAGGAACATCATCATTCATATCATATTTTGCAAGTTAATCAACATATAAATTAACTCTACAAAATGTCTGTTGTAAACTGTTCTAAAATAATTACAATAATTTTCTAATTGCAATCGTGAAGGAAAACTAAACATAAAAGTAATCACTATTGTTATGAATTATCTAAGACAATAGCAAAATTTGCATCTTACAAAAATATATTATTATTCATAAACATTTTTTTATTATTAGCTTTCTTTTTTTATATTACCATTGTATATGAACCCAATAACCTTCCAACAAACCATCATTTTTTCCTACGTATTTCCAAACTAATTTTCCATGCACTTCGAATTCAAAATAACATACACGTACATTTCATTTAATACTAAATCAAACTTGAAAATAATATAAACGTACATTATATTTAGTAGTAAATCAAACTAATCACAATATTTCACAATTGTTCTTCATATCATTATAATTTCAGCCAAGACAAACACTATGATCCAAACCACAATAAATTTGTTCCTCATTTTAATCTCATTTGTTTTCACCATCTTCAAAACATCCATCATCATTTCTTCCACAACTTCTACCTTCTTATTTGTAACATTTAATTCCTCTCTCAACTTGTCAATTTTAACCTGCAACTGCGATATATCACAAATATGCCCAGACACTATGTTTTCTAATTCTTCCACTTGATCCATTGCGTTGCCCCATTCAAAAACCCGACAATGACTATTTGTCCCGTTATATCTTCCACAACCAAAAAATTTTCTCCCTGGATTCTTACGAGTTTTTGAGCATTGTATCATACTTTGAATACCACAATAACATATCGGCATTTCCCTTGGCAATGTGGATAGCGTAGTCCTGCTTGTATGTGAAGATGCAGAATTCTCCATTTCTGATATCTAACAAATATAAATACGATGGACAAACATTATCATAACCAATAATGCTTACCATAAATATTGTCAAACCACATTAATAAAACAATAATTACAACGACACAATCACAACACTATCAAATTGGAAAAATAAATTACAATCTATTTTTTTACCACCTCGATCAACAATCCATAATAATGCCTTCACAACGAAATACAACAACACCTACATGAGTTATCAATACTTACTAAATCTGCAAAAAAAAATAAAAACTCTAACAAAATCACATAACAATATGAATCCTAACAACTCACCAAATAAACCAAACAATATTCACGCATACGTTATTCGTGAAAGCAACACTACATGACCAGTCAATTAAAGAGAATTCGAGCATAACTGAAAAGTTATTATAACTTAATCGAACAAAATTGAACTTACCACTAACTGTTCACTTCAGAATCGGGGTGCCTATCCCCAGGAACCAGACACAAAACTCGAAGATCAGCTCAGGAGAAGAACCTGCAAGGATTTCAAATGGAAAGAGAGACGACCTTTCATGAGGAGAAGAACCTGCAAGGATTTCAAATGGAAGCAAACCACGGTAACGGAGACAACATTTCATGAACACAACAACATCCATGCCAACAAAATGAAAACACAGACACAACAACAAGATGGAAAAGGAAAAGGAGACAATTTCGTCGCTTAAGAGAAGAACATGGAAACAAAGACAAAGTAACAGACACAACATTTGACGAACAGAACAACATCCATGACGAGAACAAGATGGAAACGAAGATACAACACCTGATCCAACGAAACACGAGGATGGGAAGGGAAACAACCTTGCCTTAAGAAGATGGAGCCAACAAAACACCAAAGCAAACAGGAACCTTCGATTAAGAGAAGTAGATGGAGCCACGTTTCAATGCAAACAAAATGAGGTGGCATGCATTTACAAATTGGACAAAAGACGGGACCCTCTATTCGGGTTGGTTTGTTGGACCATGGTGAAGGGGCAGATCAGATCCAATTACCCAATTTCTGGTCAAAGTTTCAACAGCGTCGATGACATGGAGTAAGTGGCCACGTGGCATTACCTGATTGGTTGTCCGTACAGAGGGCACCCAAACCCTCTACTCCCAAAGGGCACACGAGTATTCTCCTTATGGCAATTGAGGGTCCACCACTAAAAACTCCAACTCGTCAAATCTAAGTTATGACCATATATCTCATATACCAATTGCACACATGCATTATAAAACACAAAATAATCACACGCCTTCCAAGTCGAGTTGAGAGTCACCACTTAAATACAAGTGACCTCGACAGATTGTCTTCTAGTCATTGATTTAAATGTGTATTAAATAAATTAGTACCAAGCATACTCCTTGGAACATTGTACCATATAACCTGTGCAAACTTGTAGTCACATAATACTTGTAGATTGCTTCAAATTCCGTTAAGCAAATTGAACAAAGACCATTGTGGGTGAGCCTTCTAGTTATGTACCACTCATTCATACACAAGCTAGAGTGTGCCACACTCCATCAAATAGTAGATACATTTGGGCTCTAGCCAATTCCAAATCAACTTAAACAAGTAGTTAGGGCTTTTAGTAATGTTAGTTATGATTGTCTTGTAAGTAGATTTAAAGGAAAGGTCCTCATCTGAAGACCCTCCCCACTTTAGGAAGCCTTGTTCATTGTTAAAAAAAAAAGATATTCCTATAATATCATGTCACACAAAATTGGGAATCAAATATCAAAGAAACTCAATATTTCGTTGCCCCTAATCGTTCACATACTCGACAACTGTTTTATGCAACTCCTTGAATGGAACAGATTAGGTAGAAATATTCGAGAGAATAACACCTGAAGGCAACCAATAGTCCATCCAAAACTTGATTTTCAACTTGTTACATAGAGACTACATAATTAGTGGTTTAACGAACTTCCATGCATCACATAATCCTCCCCAACAATTTGATGCATTTGGCCTAGTGCTAAAAGATAGGATGATTTCTTCGCAATTATACTTAGCTTCCACCATCATGAGATTCATGACCCAAAGTTTATCTGGTTCAGTACAAATCTGTCAACAATCCTTCATCATGAACAATATATGCATTTACCTTTTTAGTATCATGTAAACTAAAGCCTTCTTTCTCTTTGAATTTACAGGCTAGGCAATAACATGGATCTTTTTGTGATCTCCTTCATGGCTCCATAGAAAACCTTTGCACTTCATGTTAATATCATCACATATCTGCTAAGAAGAAAATTACAATGCATAGTATAAGTTGGAATAGTAGCAAAGATAGATTTAGTGAGACTTACTTCTCGTAAATGATAGCTTCTTTTCCTTCCAACTATTAAGACAAGAGTTCACTTTGTGAAGAACAAATTGTTGCATACCTCTACTTACCTTTTGGTGGTGAATAAGGCACCCCCTAAGTACTTATTAATATCACTTGTTCTTTAAAACCTAAAAGCAATATTAATTTGACTTTTCACAATCATATTGCTAGAGAAGAAAATATAAGTTTTCTTATACTAATATTTTTATCTAAGCTATTGCAGAATAATTCCAAAGTGTGGATAATCTCCACCTAGTCTATAAAGGTCTCAACAAAAAAAATAAGATCATTTGCAAAGACCAAATGGGATAAAGGGACCCCTTTCTAAATAGTTTGATGGGTTTTTAGAGATTGTGAGTGATAACTAAGTTAATCATATGAAATAAATGTTTCATACAAAGAACAAATAAATAGGCAGAAATACGATCTCTTTATCTAATCCCTCTTGTAGGTTGAAACTTGTCCAAAGCTTCACCATTCCAAAGTCTACACATTTTTGGTATAGTGATGCAAGTCCATATCAAATCAATGAAAGTCGGCACACACATTACCTTTCACAAGAGTATGTCTAAAAACAATATCCCAAAGGTTTCTCCATCAACTCCTTAATACTATCAATAAGAGTTGCAAACCATCAGCGAAAATCTCCTTTTTCAAACTATTTTCACACCATGGAGCATAGATTGCAACTTTGCCTTAATATTAGTTGCCTATCACATATCCCCATAAAATTTTAAGATCCACATGATTTTGTCAATTCCAATTGGGTCAAGTTAGCCTAAGGAGCTACCATTCACATGTAGATAGACATGATCTCCCACAATTGTAATGCACATGACCCACCTTTATTAAGAAAAATAACTCCCTGTTAGAGTCGCATCCTCATACTTATGTTGCATGGTCACATGTAGAGAAGTTTGTAAATAGTCTCTTTATATTAAAATTACTCAAATTTGACCAAAGATTATCCATGTCAAAAAATACTTAAAATAAGATTATTATTTTATATATTAAGAAAAAAATGTTAAAAATAATTATAAAATTTTGATATACATTTTTTTAGTTAAAATGACAAATAAAAAGTATCAAATCATATTAAATTAAGAGATTTGAATATTAATTTTTCCATAATTTATCTATATTTATATATAAAAGAAATTCTTTATTTTGATGTACATATTATTTTTTTTTCAATTTTAATGTTATATAAAGATATAAAAGAAATTATTTATTTTGATGTATATATTAATTTTGACAATTTTAATATTATATAAAACCCATTTAAATCATATGATAATGCTTAATAAAAGATACACTTATAGTTTTGTAGTCCGTAGATAAGGAAAGGCCGAACCCGGGCCCAAACAAAAGGCGGAAAAAGTTACTGGGCCGGGCTTTCATTGTTCTATATGGTGTGGGTATCATCCTTCCATCGGAACACAGTATTATGTTCCTTTGTCACAGATATAATTCTTACAAGTGTTAGTGGGTGCGTGAACGGATCGTCGTGGCTCATACACCTTTTTATCTCTGTAACTCTGTCCCAATTTGAAATCGTGACAGAAGAAAGAATAGGAGAAAGGGTTTCGATTTCGGAAGAGGAATAAGGAGCTTCTGAAAGAGAGGGTTCAGTGTTCCAAAATGAAGACGACCAAGGGCGGCAAAGTCATGAACCCTACCGATGCTTACCGAAAGGAGCTTCGCAAGAAGGAATTGAAACGGGTATTCTCACTTCCTCAACCTACGCTCCCTTTTCTCTTACGCTTGTTAATGTTATTTTATTCCTCTTTTTTGCCCTAATTCATACTCTGCTGTATGTATCCCTTTATGTTCCACTTCCAATTGATTGAAACTTCGAGTATGTATTCTTCGCATTTTAAATAATCATAAATTCATAACACAAAGGGACGCTGATTGGGTTTTTAACTCAATGGAATTAATCTATTTTTATTTGCCGTGATTTTTTTTCCTCGAAGTATATGTTCTTGTCATGTATCTTTCTGTTGTGTATTGCGTGTTTCTTTAGGATAATTCAGCTCGTGGTCTGATTTTGTTTACTTCCGCTTTTTATTTTTTTGATTAACAGAATAAGAAAGAAAGGAAAAAGGTGAGGGAGGTGGGGATTTTGAAGAAAGATCCTGAACAATTGAAGAAGCAGATTGAGAACTTGGAAATGATGAGTAAGTCTTGCTTTATTTTGCATTGGAAGGCAGTGAAATCCGATGTCGTCTCTTTTACTTATCATTGTTAGTTTTATGGCATGATGTTTGTTGAATGTTGATAAAGACTATTTAATAGCACATCTTGTAGTTGTGGTTTGAATGAATCTCTTAATCTGTGTAATTGTGAGAACCAATTTGCGGAGAGCAGTAATGACTGTTGAAAAAATTTCTGTAAGAGTCACCAATATATTGTGATGATGGAAGAAATCCAGTTAATTTCATTTGTACAAATTATTTCATCAGCGTACTAGCAAAAATTAAATTTAAAGTTGGTGATCTTAAAATGAACTTGGAGAATCAAAACATGGCATTACAGTACTTAGGGAGATTATTTTTTTTGAATTCTGTGCAAACTTATTTATATCCTTGAAGGATACCGTTTTGTCCACATAGAACAAAGAACTATTTGTACACGTGGATTGGATAAATTAGAGACCTGGTGCTGCTGGTACTGATACACCATCAGTGGTTAGCAGGATGGAGATTAAATTTTAATGTTTACTTTTTTAGTTACTCCCTCCGTTTTTTTTTTCATAGTCGTTTTGACATTATTTTTTTGTTATTTTTTCATTGTCACTTTTCTAAAATCAATGACTTATTTAATTTTCTTTTTCATTTTTACCCTTGATAATTAATGTGTATTTATTGGACAATGTGTTTATTCATTTTCAATGAACCTATTTCTTCTCCAACCACTAAAGGGTTTAATAGGAAAATAAGTAATAAATACTTTGAAAAACTAAAATATCAATCATTTTCTTAATTATTGTGCATAACCTTAAGCGTCAATGAAAAAAAATGGAGGGAGTACTTAGTACTTTAATTACTTTAGGCTTTAACTTTAGATGATTTAAAGCTATAAGTACCTTGTCTTCTTGACTTTTTATATATGTTTTGTTTAAGTACTATGAACTTTTATTATTGAAAATGATTAATGCATGAATTTTGAATTATTTTTCTGATTTTTAACTTATATATTATTATTTAATTATTAATTATTTAATATATATAAATATAATATTAGAATAATGGTCATCTTGCTATCCGCAATTCCGCTAGCCCACTTTTTGGGGTTGGCCGCTCTGCTCCGCTGTCTGGGATTGACGACTATGATTTATCTAGATGTTGTTGTATGAAACATAAAAAATTATATATTTGCTTCTACCAGATAGTTGCAATGGGAAAAATGTTGCTATGTATACATGGACTCATGTAGTGCACTACTGCTTTATATGGATTTTTTGGGTTATACCCAGACACATGGAATTTTAATCTATAGAATAAATTTTGTTTTTGGGGAGGGGGGATGTTCTAGGTTGTCTTCTTTATTCCTTTTTTTTTTCCCACACTCTCTAGTTTCCAACTTTTGTTTCTATACTGATCTGCATATATTGATCTATTATTTGACTATAGTTGTTTTCTGGGATGTAATTGTATAATTATAAATTAAGTATGATGCCTTTTAGTATGCTTTTAGCTAGTCAAATTCACTGTGCATCACTGATTGTGGCAGAGGCTGATGGTGCTTTGGATAAAGCAAGAAAGCACAAGAAGAGACAGCTACAAGATACACTTAACCTTGTCCTAAAGAAGAGGAGGGTAAGAACTTATTACGTGTTCTTTTTGTTGGATCACTTTTCTCTACTGTTTGATATTGCTTTGCAGATTGTCCTGCACTTGTGTGCTGTGCACAATTATGTGCTTTCTTGAATATAAATAAAGAAGATAAAATGGTGAGGACTGATCTCTCTGGATTTTTTGAAGCCATTATACAATCTGATTTCTCTTGATGATCCTGTGACATATTTCAATTCCCTGACTACTTTGGAGAAAATTTCCTATCAAACTTCTTTCTCGTGCTTGAAGAAGTAAAGGAAAACTCAACCAGAGTGAACGTTACAGTGTATGGTAGAAATCGATACATTTGATGAATGAAAAATAATCATTAGTTCATTACATCATAATCCAGAGCATCATTGATCATAGTGTCTATTGCAAAAATATTCTTGGTTCTTTATCATCTTTAGGCTTTGTTTGGAGGAGAGGAAGGAATAGAAGAGAATAAGAGAGAATAGGTGAGAATTGATTTGATAGGAATTAGGTAAGAAATTAAGTGAAATAGAATGTAATTTGTAGTTGTTTGATAAAGTGGAATTAAGTGAGAAATATAGTGAATTTGGTATTTACAATTATTATTTTACCCTGACTTTATAATATAGTTAGAATTGATATTTTTTGTTTTATGTAATTTTACACATTTTCTGAAATCCACAAGAATCCCCTCAATTAAGAGGATATAAATAATGATGTGGGACCCATTTCTAATTCCTCACAATTCTCCTTAAATACCCTCTACCAAACACGAACGTTTTTTTTCTTCAAATCCACTCTAATCCATCTCCCTCCCAATTAAATCGCCTCTACCAAACATAAGCTTAGTCTCTTTTTCTTTGACTTAGTTAAAAACTGTGCTATCACATTGGGTATGTACCCTTCATGTTCACTGGCATTTGTCATTAAAGTAGCTAGGTTCCTCATTGTTATTTAGGTAGTTTTCCATGGAGTATTATAGAAATGTATACTGCCAATGAATGAAAATAATTATCACATCATAATCCAGATAAGCATTGACCAATGTGCCTGTTATGAAGCAAAATATCTCTTAATTCTTTATATAGTCTTTAGTCACCTTTTCTCTGTCATGATTAAAAACCATGTGTTATCGTGAATAGAGTGATTGCTAATTTTTGTGCCTCTGAAAACCAGTTATAACAAGCACATTGGTTGATGTACCATTCTTGTCCATAGGCAAGTCCCATTAAGAGTAGCTGAAGGGCCCCCCACTTGGGTTTATCACAATCTGTAAGTGTTAGTTTTAGTTGATATTTTATTAGACCCGTATAAAAGGTTGTGGGATCGTGATTACAGTCTGTAACGAGTTTCTATTGAAACACATCTGTAATGGGTCATTGTTTGAGCTCTGACTTCTGAGAGGCACATGTTTTTTTAACTACAATAGAATTCTTGAGTGGTACAAACAAGGCAAAACCAGAACTAAGTAAATGGATCATTAATGATCTGATTTTGATATTGTATTAGTAGCAGAAGCTGTCTGGTTATATGAATATCGTTAATAGTGGACTAAAAATTCAGTCTTAGGAATTTGAACACTGCAACCAATTATATGCTTTATTTGGTTAATGATTTCTTCCAATTTTTAATTATTACCAATACCGATCTAAATGTAATCACTCTTGGATAGGAATATGAAGATAAAATGCGGGAGAAGGGCGAGACCCCTGTCATGTTCAGGTGAAGAATTTTCATGTCACTTTAAAATATGGATTTATTCCCAATTTATGTTTGTGTATAGTTTACACATTCTAGGATGTCTTTGGCAGTCATTTGGGGCCTCCTCGAAGGAGAACAACTGCAGAAGAAGAAGAGAGGGTTAAGCACCCAAAGCCTGAGGTAGGATTTAAGTTGTTTGTTTGTGTGCAAGCGGTTATGTTTTCCTTTTCCTCTATCTTTGAAACTAAACTGGTGTAGCTGTCATTAATGGTTTTGAGTTACTCTTTTTTACTACAGGACTCTGTTTATTATCATCCTACATTAAACCCTACTGGGGCTCCACCACCAGGGAAACCTCCTATGTTTAAATCATCTATAGGTATGCTGACTTTTTTTTCCTTTTCATATTTGTGTTGTAAAATTGATGTATAAATGATGTTGGGTCGACATCTCCCTTATTTAGTCAACTTTTGTGCTGTTATGCAGGACCCAGAATTCCTTTGTCCGGTGCTTCATCAAGTACTGCTGCATCATCCTTGGCAACAGAGTCAGAGGATGATGTATTAGCTGTACCTCCACCTCCCCCGCCGCCTCCACTTCCTGATGGTAGCAGTACGAGTTCAGCAGATGGTGCTGTTTTACCAGCATCTTTGCCATTGCCTCCTCCCCCTCCCATGCCTCCAAAGCCAGCTACTGCTGTGCCGACATCATTACCACCGCCTCCTTTGCCACCTCCACCTCCTCCACCTAAAGAACAAGTTGCAAATCGTCCTATTCCTCCTCCCCCACCACCTCAACAACAGTCTCAACCACCTCCACCTGGCACCAGTGGAGGTGAAGGGAGAAATCAGTCTGCATTGACAGATGATTCACCTTCCAAGGAGCCTGGTCAGGTAGGCTTTTATCTATTTATATGTCTGTTTAGATACAAGCTTAATAGTGCTTCTGAGAGTTTCTTTATTGAAAATAGAGAGTTTTTTTCTGGTAGAGAAACTCTCAAAAATACTTCTAGTTTGTATCCAAACAGATTCTAAATGTCATATTTTCCCTGTAAAGGCATGATCATTTGTTAAGGTATTGAAGGACATGAAATTAGAGATACATTGAAAGCATTGATATTTTATCTGAAATGATCAAGTATGTGGATACTGTTATTTTTCAAAATGTAGGTGGTGGACATGGCAAGGAATATTGGATAAATGTTAAAATTATATTTGTATGCTTACAAAAAAAAAAAGATATATATTTTCATTTTAAAAAGTATCTAAGTCAAGCAAATTTTGAAGATTTTATTGTGTTGTATATATCTTTAATCTATTTCATCATGTTTTGGCTTCCTTTGAAACCTATTTTCTGTGTTTTGGAACATTTTAAAGCATTTTCAAATTTTGGACACATCAGAGACATTTTGGAATGGCTTAGACTCAAGTTGAAAGAGGACGGGAATGTCTGTTAATTGTGTATAGCAAGGTTTTTTTTTGCATATTCATGCTTCATAGATGAGAAGGTAGTAGGCATTTGTCATGTTTGCCAGATGGGAACTTATTACATTTGATCGCAAGTTTAAAACCCTGTACTTGGTATGATTCTCCTTAGCAAAAGCTTCTTACACAGTAACAATTTCTAAAATGCAGGTGCAGCTTCCTCCACCTCCTCCACCTAGTCAGGTGCCACCGAAGGCTGGTGTGGTTCAGTCTGATGGTGCTATGGTTTCTACTGAGAATAAGAATTCTATGGCAAGCCAGGAGATCCAAAAAATTGTTGCTGGGCATCCTCCTCCAAGGCAACAACCCCCTGTTCCTGGACCCCCCTTAATCCCAAGTTTACAGCCTGATGTATTACCCCCTGGAATATCCCGTTTCCCACCACCCCCGCCACCACCTGATATGAGGCCTCCTTTACCCGTGGCAGGACTCTCTGCTCAGGCACCACCTCCTGGAATGATGGTCCCCTTAATGCCAAGGCCACCATATGGTCCTCCACCTGGGCCTCCTCCAATGATGAGACCTCCACTTCCACCAGGTCCTCCGCCAAACTTCCAGGAAGGGGATCATATGGCAAATATGCCACCACTTCCTCCTCCAAAACCATCATATGTTAAATCTGCTGCTTCTACTGTTGTTAAAAGGCCATTAGCTCAGCACACTCCAGAACTCACAGCTATGGTGAGTTGAGGTCTTTTTTGGCTTCCTTTTTTATCGTCTCTTAAATTTTTTTTGTTTCCCTAATATCTATCATTTGCTTATTCGTTATAGCTTTATTTTTTAACGGGAAAGCTTATCAAGTAAAAATTCCTTCAGTATTGTTTTGGTTATAAGCTTTCCTGAACTCAAACAGAAAATTGCCATCATACTGTAATTTAGTCTGGTGATAATTGTTCTTTGCAACTGTTTATACCATGCAGTGATTCGAATACCAAACTAACAACTACAAAATGATTTTTTATTGTGTGCATTTCGTCAGGGAACAAATTTACTTAATGAGACGCAATGTTTATTTGAGTTTTGAATTTATGTCCGAAGAAAGAGCTGTTAAATAAATAAGTTAATTCATGGTTATACTATCCCAAGTTGCTTATGGCTGAGAACTTAAAACTGACATCACTTTTCTCTTTGTATATATTATTCCTCTAATTGTATCTATATCTTGTTTATGACTAGGTTCCTGCATCTGTGCGAGTGAGAAGAGAAACTGCAATGACTAAATCAAAACCAAAACCGTCATTGCCAATCCCTAGGTCAGTCTCTGGGACGTCAGGACCGACTATTGTAAAATCAGAGTCGGTGAGTTCGTCATCGGCCCCAAAAGCACAGAGCATTGATGACTCGTATACAGCTTTCTTAGAGGACATGAAAGCCCTTGGTGCACTTGATGGTTGAGAAATTACTGTGAGTGGCGGTGTCGCATAATATTGAGGGTGTTCACAGTGTTATTTACATGTTCAAATATTCACCCTCGCGACCTCACTAAATTTTTTATTCTTGATGAAGTCTTATCAAGACCATGTATACTCACTCTCTTTTGCGACTCCTATTTCATCTCCTTTATCATTCTAGTTTGAATTAGTACACTATTAGTTAACAATATTATACATTATTCACCTATGGTGTGTTAAAAATATAAATTCAAAATTTAGAACAAAAGAAGAAACATTTTTAGAAAAAAAAATTAATTTAATGTATAAGAGTAGATTAAACAAATGAAATATATAGTTAAATGTATTACTTTTTTCTCATAAATTAGTTAAGGAATTACCTTTTATGCGTCTGTTTGAATTGTAAGTATAACTACGTTTCACTCCAATGGAAGCTATTTTTGCTTTAGAATAGTTACTTGGGAAAGTGTGAATAGACCAGCAAACCCCGAGTTCTGGTGCAGAAGTACCTGAGCAGTATACCGTGTCGAAATTTTAATTAATCATTACCAGATGAATTAGTCTGTCACCGTTTGCCTAAGATTTTCTATATTAATTAGGCCACATTTTCGCCCTGTACTGGAAGCATACCAAAGAACTAGTATTATACCAACACTTCTTTGGCCAACAGAATTGACGTTGCCAAACGTGGTCGTGGGTACACCTTAACGAGAGGGCATTGTGCGGCACTAGCAACGATGTGACGATAAACTTTGATCTTTATCCGATGATTTATCCAACAAGTGCATGTCAGTGTTACCTATCGAATAAGAATATGAAGATGCTTTTCGCTCTCAACTGGTGCTGGGTTGGAATTTAGAACCCAGCTAAAACAATGCGGGAAATGAACACCGTACTACGTAAATACATATATTTTATACTTTCAACTAACCACTAAATCACAAGTGCTTCTAAAATATGGATGAAAAACGGGATTCTGGCTATGCAGTAGGCTTTCAACTGGTTTAGTGCCACGAAGGGTGTTCTTTCCATCGGCTTCATGTTTTACTGCTTTTGGATTCTTCAACTGCGCTTCCTCTATTCGTTAATTAAAATGTTCGGGTTTAAATATGTTTTTAGTCCCTCAAATTTAAGATAAATTTAATTTTAGTCTCTTAAATTTAAAATTATTATTTTTAGTCTTTGTAATTTTTTAAAAAAATATTTTAGTCTCTCAGATCACTAATAATATACTTCAAAATAATAAATTAAGACTATTATACAATATTAATTGAATTTAATGTGATATTTTTCTAATAAGATATTAATAAATAAATTTTATGTAATAATATTTGATAAATCTTTTAACAAAATTTAAATATAAAGACTAAAATAAGATTTTTTAAAATTATATAGACTAAAAATATCAATTTTAAATTTAAGAGATTAAAAATAAATTTACACTAAAAATATATTTAATTCTATAAGTTTTCTTTATTTTTACGATGAAAGCACGTGTTGCAGTTCCACAGAACATGCAGCGATACATAATTTACCTTATCCCGGCTCTGCCTCGATTTTGGAATCAATACGACAATACCTTGTGCAGTAAGGTTCTATTTTTCCCAAAACCATATAGTATCAAGTATGATAAGGACTTAAAAAAAGAACGGTTAAGTTGAACTTTGAGTATTATTAACAATTTAGTTTTTCAATTTTTAATTCTGTGATCTTAGTTCTCAAATTCTGTAAAATCTGTAATTTTGATATTAGATTGATCATTAAAATTGTAATGTTAAAATTTTGAATATATGCTACTACAGGTACAGCATACAGGTTTCTTATTTCCTTATACTTTGACGAAGGATAATGATGAAGTTGGTGGACTGCACTGCGTGCCTTGCAAGTTTTTGATGCTTGTCTTAGTTGTACCATTTGCCATACTGTTACTGATATCATTGAAATGAGACTGAGCAATGGAACTGTTTGCAGCACCAAGGGAGGGTAAGGTACATGTGCATGTTGACGATCTGATCCATACATCTGTCAGTTTTTACGTGGCATAATAGTTGTACAGCTGGAATGGCAATTACTTGAAGAGGTAAAATCAAGAATTGACAATCCACTGCAAAAGAACATTGGTCAACCTGACACTGAATTCCTTTCAACAATTCATGTCCTACGGGATTCAGGACTTCAATTCATACACCAATGAAGGCCAATCATCATCCAATATGCTAAATATTTCAAAGAATAAAAAGCCATTTAATCAGCATAATGCAACTTTGTACTAACATCAAGTTAATGCTATCTCTAACAGAATGGCAGATACTGCATAACAAGAGATCCTCATGGCTAATGCTAGTGCCTAACTCCTTCAATGGCATCAAATACCGAAAAAAAGTTATTGCATGCATCATTGTTATTAGTTTTAAAGCCAACACCAAAACTAGTCAGTGTCTAAGGTTTGGGCTGACATAACTTGTCCACATATAATGCTATGCTACTAAAGCTCAAGTAAAAAATATTTTGGCTAAAAACTTAAATTGTTTCCTTATAATAATTATTTGTTTTAATTTAGTCTCACTTTTATTTTTGATCTTAATTTGGTCCCTAATAAATTAAATTGTTGTAATGTTAGACTTCCGTCCAAATTATTTAGACGGAGTTAACTGTTGGCCACATGAATGTTACGTGGATGCCACGTGGAAGTTACATAGATGCATCAAATTTTTGTCATGCGTCTGGTATCAGAACGATCCGTTCTGAAACTGGAACGACCCGTTCTGGTCTCAGAACGGTCCGTTCTGGTTCCAGAATGCCACACATGCAATCGATGATTATATCCAGAAATTTTAGATCGTGAGGACAATACTTATTCATATATTTGTAATATTAAAAATTTTACATATATTTTTTAAAAGTATATATATATATATATATATTATAGTTATTTTTTACAAGTTTTTATATCTACAATTATGATTAAGGATGAAAATAAACTAGGTCAGATTATGTTATATTATAATTTAACAGATTTAAACCTAATTTTTGTTAAAAATACATGTTATAAATATTATATATTTATCTGTCATAGACATTTTTTAAAATATTTGGTTACATAACAATCTTAAAAACTTACTTAATAATAATTTAACACTAATAAAAACATATAAATAAATATGTTAAATCTTATAAAAATTAAGTTTAATTTATTTATCATATAAAGATGTTTTTAATATGTGATATAAATTTTTACAATTTTAATTTTTTTTATCAACATAAACAATAAATAGAAAGTACATAAGTTTGACAAATATCAAATAAATGAATAACTCCTCGAAATTTATATTTTATACATACGATAATTTAAGTATATATATTATAATATAATTTTATTTTTTAAAATATATTATTTTTTAGATAAAAAAATTGTGTATGTGTAAATGGTTTGATTTTTGAATGCAGAACGACCCGTTTTGGAATCTAGAACGGCCCGTTCTAGTTATAGAACGACCCGTTCGGGTTCCAGAACGGCCCGTTTTGCTGCACGCGTTGGTGTTAAATAATGCATCTGGAACGGGCCGTTCCAATGCAAAATTTACACACCATGAGTGCAACCGGAACGACCCGTTCCGATTTCAGAACGGCCCGTTCTGGTTCCAGATGCATGACAAAATTTGACATCTAGGTGACATCTATTTAGCTTTCACGTGACATCTACGTAGCTTTCACGTGGCATTCACATGGTCAATAGTTAACTCCGTCTAAATAATTTGGACGGAAGTCCAACATTACAACAATTTAATTTATTAGGGACCAAATTGAGACAAAAAATAAAAGTGGGACTAACAATTATTGTAAGGGACTAAATTAGGTTTTTAGCCAAATATTTTCTATTAGGTTTTGTTAAGTAAAAAAGGCTACAAAAACTCAACTTATAACTCTTATATTTTAAGCATAATAGTCTATCTCAAATTTTCTTTTAGACTTACGTATTGTTGGGTTGAGCTGCATATTACTAGACCGATGTTTCGAACTAAGGCCAATTTTGCTAACCCGTCCAAAAATGATGGATTAAACTTCTCCGGTTAAGTTTACTTTTTCATGCATCAATGTATAAGATTTTTATATTAACAATTGATTGAAATTTACGTTTTTTTTTAAGTAGCTATTATAAAATTTAATTATTTTACTATATTTCATCTCAAGTTATATTATTCTACAAAGGTAATACAACTGGCTAAGTTCCCTCACTTTTACTAATTAGGGCTTAGAGTCAAATTTAAAAATTTAATTTTTCTTATATCTTGTATGTAATTGTACTTTTACCCTGATATAAATTTATTTTGTAACAAAAGCAAAAGCTTAAGGTCATTTTTAGATTTTTTTTTTCAATAAGCACAACTATATAAAAAAGACAATAATATAAATTAATTTTTTTATAAATTAAAATTAATTTGTACATAAATTAGAATTAACTTTTGAAAAAGATAAATGAAATAACTTCTTTAAATTAATTTATCAATAAATTTACGGAAGAAATTTAATTAATCTTCTTTTCAATTTTTACTTAGTTAGGAGAAAAAGAAATATTTACGTTGATCTCTTTTTTTTTTTTGTTGCAAAAATTTATGTTGATATATTATTTTGAAATTATGTGCTAAAAAATATTTGTAAATATCACTACAATAAGATGTATTTTTAGCAATATTAGAAAAATATTGTCAAATTATGAGAAAATATTAATAATATATTTTTCTAAAATTTTATCAAATGTAAGATATTAAAATTTGTATTAAATATTTTAGTATAAAAATCAATCTAGACAATTATCATATTAAAATTTTTAAACATACATATAATCAGTAATCGATAATTATAAACTATATTTAATTAGCAGTTATAAATTATTAAATACATTTAATAAGTGGATATTCAATTACATCTGCAATTTAATTAACAGTTAAATATTTATTATTAATTTGTAATTAGAAAATTTTTCTTATTTGGATTAAAAAATCTGATAAAATTTCTTCCAATGATGATTTTTCATTTTTGTGCTTTTGACTCATCTATTCTTTCATATTCCACTACTCCATTGCAGGATATCTAATGATCATGAAACCATTTTTTTTTTATATATTCATTCTTGAAACAAAATTGGTAGTTAAAGTTAGGAAACAAAATCTCAATAACAATAACAAAAGAAATTCCTACAAAATTAAAGAAATATGGTACATAACGTAAAAAAATGAATTTAATTTCTGCTAAAATATTTAAAAATAATATAATCATTAATATATATATATATATATATAATTTACCACTCTTATAAACAATCTCCTTTTATTATGGCTAATTTCTCTCCGCAACATCTATTTTATATACCTTACTTCTTAATCTTATAATCAAATACATCACATCTTAAATTTAAGTGATAGAAATAATATTTCAATTGATAGAAATTCAAAAAGTTTGAATTGATCTCCCCATCGAAGGAAAAAGAAGAATTATCTATAAGAAGAATCAAACTCAAAAAGGAAGAAATATTTCAAGCTTTTTTTTAACATAAAACACAATTTGGCTACTATACATATAGCCATCATGCAAATAATAATTACATTAAAACGCTCCTTATGACATTATTATAAGCAATGTTGCATTAAAATGCAACCCACGTTTCACTATAGTAACAAGAAAGATAACTCAAGAAATGAAAATACTAGTTCATAACAAATAAATCTATACAAAATTATAAAAATATATTACATAAGGTAAAATTGAATTTAGTTTATGCTAAAATACCAGAAAAATAATATAATTATTAATATATATTAATATATATATATATATATATAATAATCATAATTTAAGGAATTTATCTAATATAAAAAGTTTCGGATAACAAATAGTTTGAATGGTACATATATGTTATAAAAAGATTTGAGTAACTAAAATGCCTTATTTTTTAGTTAATTAATCTTCATGTGTTTCGATTTTGATTATGTAAGTAGTTTTATTGTAATTTTCCTTTCTTTACAAAATGAATTGTCAGTCTCAAGTTATACACAAGGAAAAAAATTAACACTGAAGAGTGAAGAAGAAAAAATACTACCTTCAATTTCCTATGATGATTTCGACGTGAAATGGGTATAGGAATTTATCTAACTTGAAAAATCTCAAGAAACATATAATTTCAATACTATAATTTCAATGTTAGATGTTAATATTAAAAGATTTAAGTAATCAATTTATCTTACTTTTTAGTCAATTTATCTTTATATGTCCCAAACTTGATTGTCGTATTAGTTGCGAATTCTTATGTGATTCTCCTTCTCTTATAAATGACATGGATTATCGAATCCCAAATCATGCATGAGGAAAAAAATTAAGAGTGAAAAAAAAAAAAGAATACCACCCTCATGTCCCTCCATTTCCTATGATGGTTAATGATGGTTGTAGTGTAAAATGAAAATACCACTCTTGATTTTCTATGATGATTGTAGTATGAAATGAGTAGATAATTTAGGTTAAAATTTATAATGAAAGATGATTTGCGTATAGCAATTTATAAATGAGAGATATAATAAAAATTTACACATAAATTGACACATAAATAATTTTGTTGATGTGGCAATAGATAATATTATGATATGACTATGTATTATTTCGTAAATCATGTTTTATATTATAAATAGATTAAAGATTAAAGAGATATACTCTTCATGTATCATTTTTTTAATTTGATATGAGATTTCAATTTTAGAAAACAATTAGAAAAAATAATATTGAGATTAAAAAATATTAACTTATCTATAATGCCATTTTTTTGAGAAAAAAAAAGTTACAATATCATATTAACCTAATTTGTAGTAATATTTTATTAAATATAAGTAGACAAATATAATAAAGAAGTTAAGTATAATAGTGATATAAATCAATAATTTATTATGGGAAATAAGCATTTACACTCAAGGTGTGCATAAGTTATTAAAATAAAGTTTCAATTTTAATTAAGAAACAATGTTAAAAGTATTTAAAATACAACACTTTTTTCTTTTTGATAATCATGGTAATTATATGAAACATTACCATCAAATACAATGACTAATCTTCATCAAAATATTACTCTTTTAACATAATTTATTTCATATATAAAATTAAGTTTTTAAATCTCGTGTATATTAATTAAGAGACATAAACTATTACTACTTATATTAACTAATATTATTATTAAAATATTGTACTTAATATGCATATTTAGCATTTTTGAATACTTTATTATTACGAAAGTACATAAGAATAAGTCTTTATTAATTTAAGCCAATATACTTTGGACTTATTTGTATTGTGACCCTACTAGAATCTTGCCGAGATCACCCGGTCAAGTTCAGTCAAGTTCCATTATATATATCGCGAATAGAATATTTGACTTGACCCAAACAAATTGCGTAGGCTAGTACGTACCTTTGGCAATAGCTTTAATGAGTATTTCTTTTTCCATTTTTGACTCTAGTTTCTCCTTTTATTCAATGGGAACATCTTCCACAGTTTCAAAATATTCACAACAATGAACTTGGAATCTAGTTACCACTTGAAAATAAACCAAAAAGTGGCTAACAAATTTCATGCTTTCATCATTTACATTTCTTCTTAAAAGCTTGGGCTTAAGAAAATGGTGGATTTGTTTGAAATGCATATTTAGGGTGCATATATATTACTTCCAAATATGCTATTATCACCCATATTAAAGAAAAAATTCAAGACAAAGATTGGGGGAAGTCTCCTACATTAACTCCATCTATCAATCCTAGAAGCTCAGCAAATTTAGTATACATTTTTTTTAACACAGAAGAAAAAAAGGAATGTCTCCAAGTTTCTTGGTAAAGCTAATTACACGGGCGATAAAAACATAGAAGCACAGTATGGGTTGGGAATAAAACTTGGTCTTCCCAGAATTACATTTTTTTTAACAAAAAAATTATGTGGTTCTTTTCTGCATCATTACCAGTAATGAGTAACTAACACATAAGTGAATCTAGTTATGTCCATGTGCATGGTGATGATGAGCATATTATGCCCCACATGCACAGGAGAAAACCTAGTGTTAACTGTAGTTTTATAGGCCCCCCTCCCTTCCTCTGCAATTATTAAACTTACACTTAACAAAACATTGATCGTAGGGGAAAGACTTATGAATATCATCATAGGAGAATACAACATAATATTATTCACTTTTGGCGAAAAGGTGGTTCAACTTGTTTTCTTTCTGAATCTAGCTTTGAACTTTTATTCTACTAATGAATTTGCTTGCAAAAATATTGCAACCTTGTCTTCCTTTCTAAGCCAAAAAGGGAATGAAATCCGCATGTCGAAATTGTTCAACTTCAACAATTAGATTTTTCTGTCAGATAAATTACAATTTCTTGTTTGTAAATAATATGTTTGGTTTTAGCTTTTGATAAGTTAAGTAAATAACATTGACTCCACATTTATAGTGGAGTAACATTTATCTAAACACGTGCTTAAAAATCTCAAATACTAAACCTTATCCAAACAAGGTCTTAGAAATCTTGACTATAAAAAGAGAAACAGTGCAGGAGTAAGGAAAGCCAAAGTAAACACAGTCAACATATAACAACCAAAAAAGAGAGTAGAATTTATTATTTTTACCGATTGACTAAAGGTGAAACGAAATCTAAGCTGAAACGAAAGAAAGAAATAGGAGAGTTGTGGGTGGAACAGTGGCAGTGAGGAGTAATAGTCCCTCTCTCGAGAGTTTAGCAGTGACATGTTCATCTGATAGAGTACAACCACCAGTGAATTTGAGGGTTCGGATTGGACCCTTTGGTCCTTCCCATCTCCCTCTCCCTCTCCCTTTTTTCTTTTCTTTTCATTTTTTTTGCTCTTTCTAACATGATCCTCTACATGTAATCTCACTCTAATTTCCCTAAACCCTCGTCTGATATTCAATTCTTCATCGTCATGTCCAACGGATCTTCTCCTTCGCGTCCCGCCCAACGATCCTCGCCGGAGCCGGAGCCGGAGCCCAATCCCCCAAACCACGACTCCGATTCAAAGGAGGAAACCGCCGCCGCTCCTCCCGTCGTCACCAGGAGCACCCGCCCGTCCCGCGCCTGCACCATGCGCGCCGCCTCTCGACTCCATTCCTCGCCGGCGAAGAAGGAGGTCTCGCCGCCGCCGCCGCCCTCGCAATGCAGCAAGATCGTGACGGCGCTGGTGGAGCCGCCGTCGCCGTCGCGGTTGCCGCGGTGGGGCCTGCGGGCCATGTGGGAGTTCGCTTCCGTGCTGAATTTCTTGCATGTGAGCTTCGAAGTGTGATGTTTCTCTTCGGAGTGTTTGTGCGTTTTTTGTGTTTGTTGAAATGTTGTGCTTTGTTGCAGCTGTTTAGGCCTCTTTTGAATATCTCGTTGGAATTCTCTGCGGAAGAGTTCGAGACAGCTCTTCTTACTCCGAACGATACTTTGTTTCATATTCACATGCCTTTGCTAAAGGTTGGTTGTTTTTTTGGTTTTTGTTTTCCTTTGAGTTTGGTGTTTGGTCCTTTGTTCATGTTTATGGCATTTCTTTTCTCTTCTGTGAATTTAGGTCTTCATCTGTGCGGATTGAGTATGTCTAGTGGTTGTTGTGGTGTTTACACTGCACGGGTTTAATTAGTATTCTATTGTCGTGTTTCTTTCTGTTCTGTGCTGAATTTACTTCTTTTGAATGTCTATACTGCAACTTTGGACCTTAAAGTGCAGAATATAGTTTTATAACCTGGTTGGGTTGGATGCTTAACTGTAAGAGAGATTTCAGAGTTATGTAGTGGGGAAGTGTAATTATAAATTATAATATGTTCATGGGAAGGTGCTGCGGTTGAGAGAGAGTAGAATGGATTAGACAGACATTTTGCATTGGTGTTGTTTAGTTTTAGTGCAACCATACAAGTAATGATATGTCTCGGGAATGTTTTTATGACAAAGGTGAGATCTTGCCTACATTTTCTAAGTGAATGAGTTGAACCTGGATGATAAACTTAAGGAATGCGGATGAATCTTTATTCAATGGGATTCTGTAATACAGGATTTGATGGAAGGAATCCCAAATTGAAGGCTTGCTGTTTTTGGTCACAAATTACATTAATGATTGATGACCTATCAATGAATTTGACAAATATAATATTCTGAGATGGTTATAAACTTATCATTTTTGTGACTGAATTGCATGCTTGAGGTTGACAGAGATTTGTAAGTAGAGAGCAGATACTTGATTGGAGGTTTTTATTACAAGTATGAGAAACCCTTTCTTCACTAGCTAAAAGATAAATTTGAACTTGCATTGTTCCTTTCATCTCCATGAGTGTTAAATTGGGGACGTGTGGGGGTTGTCGTATGCTGATCTAAAGGCCCATTTCCCTGCTGAAGCGTGGGATGAAACCAAAAAGTTTGTTTATTCCATGCATTTGTCACTTTAAGGAAAAAAAATGAGTGTTTTCTGTATGAAATGGTTTCAAGCTCCAAAACAATTTGCACGAGTTTTGAGGCTTTGTTTGTGTTTATCCATGTGTGTTGACTTTGGCCTTGTTCATAATGTTCTGGTATCTGGATGCAAATCAATCTCAAAGGTACTTTTTCAAGGAGTGATATAAACCTTGTATGGTTGTCAATCTCGAGGGACAACTCATAATAATTGTCGAGTTTACAAGATTGGTCAGCCCCACCTATACAACTTGGAAGCAAACTTCTTTCTGAGCAATCTCGCTTCCTCTGTTACTAAAAGCAAAAATTAGTCTTTTTCTAGTTTCTTATTTGTTTAGGGTTTAAGAACTTGTGTCTTGTGTGAAATTCTTCATGATTCATTACTAAACATTGCTACTTTAATATTTTAATTTGCTATTTTACTTTAATATGGAGTTGAAATGTTGAGTTATTATATTATTTATAAGTATTATAACATATTTTTTATATTAAGTAAACTTTTACTAGTTTACAATTTGAGTTTACGGGGTTTCAATGAAATTATGTAAACTGTCGAGATTGTCAACCTTGATACCTTGGCTTGGATACCAAAAGGAAAGGCCAACTTTGAAGAATTCTCTAAACTTTGGTATAAGAATCTTCCTCATACATAATTATTACCGAAAGTTTTCTGAATTGAACTATAGCTTCAAAAAAGATTCAAATATTGTGAGAATAGTATATGCCGTAAAGTTTTATGATTTAACTCTATTGATGTTCCTTTGCTTAAAAAATATATGTTAAAGGCAGGATACTCAACCAGTCCCTGATCTAAGGAGTCATGTATTGTATCAAAACAGTGGTGGTACTTAAACAATGTATATATAAATTTTGTTTTTGACTTGAGTATTATAAAAAGATCAATCTTGCATTAGTCTCTATTAAATCGAGTGAGGGAAAGTCAAGGCTGTTAGTAAGTAATTGTACAGTTTCAAATCTTACAAGAGGTGTTTGAACTTTAAAGTTGTGGATTTTGCTGTAATTCTTCTGCAATGATATTTCTCAAGGTCTAATCCTTTAGAAAATCAGTACTTTCTTCTCCGTGTGTTTGCAGAACTGCTGCTGGTCTGATAATAACATATATTAAACTTTTTGATAGGCAATCCCTCCTATTACACGAATGGCACTCACACGTGATACTTGGATAACTGTATTATGCAGGAAGTTGAGAGATTGGTGGCATTGGGTAATAAGTTACATTTAATCAGCAAGCTGATATTTGATATTAGTGTATGTTTTACAATTTCTATAGCTAATAAGAGGATGGATTCAAATGTAGGTTGCTGAAGGGGATCTTCCAATTGTTGCTTCACATGGGTAAGTATTCATGCAATTTTTGTCACTGTAGAATCTTAATCTTCATATATCTCAAGTCTCAGGTTATGCTAATGTGACAGGGCGGAGATTGAAGTATATAAATCACTTGATCCAGGGGTCCGTGTTGTCATCTTAAAAGCATTATGTGACATTCGTGTTGAGGTATGCTGTTTATGTTCTATGCAAGTCAATGTCTCTTTGTTTTGGCTTATTTTGCTTTGCTTCTTCTATCTTTCACATAAACGAGGCTGATATGCTTGTGCTTCTAACAAGTTGTTATAGTCAGCATCAATGTATTGTCATGTTATATATTACAATCCACATATACGTGTGGCTATGTTCTATTTTCTTTCTTTAAGGGCCAACGACTTCTGTGTCTGTTTAGGTCAAGATTTTTTAAGGGGTCAGGGAAGCTGGGCCCCAAGATCAAAACTCACTGGGTGCATCCACAATTCCCCAAATGGTCTTACTCTGTTATCCGTTTTTGTATTGTACGAGTTATGTAATGATCAAATTTGAGTAATATTTTGCAGCAAGAAGATATTCGAAGTTATATTGATGACTCAATTAAACATGGTGTTCAACTTTCAACATTCTGTAAAGAGCGTATTGGAGGTGATTCACGTGGAATTTCTTATTGGTAATAAACTTTTCTTTTTGTGTCATCATGGTCAAATTTTGAAATGTTATATTAGAAGGTATTGTACATTTAAGTCTGGTTTTATTCATTTTGAAATTTGATTAGTGTAGGTATGAAGGTGACCCCATTATTGGTCATAGGTTGTATCGAGAAATAAGGAAAACTGAAGTGATTCAAATGAAGAAAGGGAAAGCAAGAGGTTCCCAGGTTCTTTCTAGTACATCATACCAGTGGGAAGCCGTTGCTACCAATCTTGATGAATTTCAAGATGTTTCTGTAAGTTACTAAAGCTGGTTGATCTACATTCATTTTAACGTGTAACTTATTACTTAAAACAAGCATGTTTGATGTAATTGTTGGATGGCTTGATTAGAGTTGGGACATATATTTGGGGTTTAGATAATGATCACTTAACAAGTTTAAAAGTAAATTACATAACTGCTTTGTTATGTTGGAAAACACAAAACAATTATACTTCTTTGTTAAGGTACAAAACTTTAACTTAGTTGGAAATCCAAATTATGTATTGACCTTGAATTCTGAATATGTTAGATTCACAACTTACCAGAATCCAGTTATAAATCAAGTGAAAACTTGCATGATATTATTGTTATACTAGAGAGAGGAATTTACTAAAGTGGATTGAAATAAGCAGCTATAAGAAAATGAATGACACCCTTTAGGATATACATGCATAAATGAGAAAATGGAAAAATTATACTGTTAGATATCTGTGAAGGAAAAAGACATTGAGAATAATACTGGAGAAGCAAACATATGAAGTTATGAAGTTTGATTTCTGAAATTTCTGCAAGGATTTTCTTTTATTTAATAACTTGCTAAATAAATGCAGTTTTTTCTCTTTCTTTTCTTTTCTTTTTTTTAATTAGTACTTATTGGATTTAGCAGTTCCTACACAGGCAGGGAAATACTTCAATCATATGGGTGATTCTCAAAGTTCCAAGACATCTTTGTTGCTTTGTTATATAGGTTTCATAATACCTGATTCTAAACCAATCAGAAAGTTATTTGATCTCACAAGCAAACATTATGTAGCTAAACCTTTATCATACTCAGTGCGGTCTTCATCTATAATGCAAACCATAGAGGTCAAAGTTAGCTATTGCTATTGTTTAATGAGATCAGATGTTCAATGTGGAAGCATTTGTCTTGTTCAATTGTTTGATGATTTTGCTCTTTGGTTGATGTTATTTAGTACATAAAACTTCATTCAGATGATTGGATTCACCCTTATTTTTGTCATTTTCAGTAAGTTAAGAACAAAAAACAAAGAATCGTGTACCCCTTACCCTGTTCTTATTATGAATTGCATCTTCTTTTTCGTTACATTGAGCTGTGTCATTTATGAATTAAATCAATTCTTTCATCTGCTCCCACAGGAGAAGCTTTTCTCAAGTAAAAACAGAACAGAGGTATCTGTGGGGAAAAGGCTGAAGATAGACATGCTTCCTGAAATTGAGAAAGTTCATAAGGTATTCTAGGGTTGAAAAGATTGAGAAGAACTGGTGTTTGTAAAATTGAATTCGAAATTGCCTTTTCTTTTTAAATAAAAAAAAAATCTTGATTTATGGTCCTTGTAGGTTCTTAATTATATTTTGAACTGATACCAAATTGATTTGGTTGGCACAGAAGAAGGAGAGGTTGCTGAAAAAGCAACAAAGAGAAGCTCTTCTTCTTGATAATTACTTGGTTGTGGATGGGCTTGGTCCTGGGCGTTCTCTTCGCGACAGGAAACCTGTTACCTACACTTTTGGTAAGAGCAAGAAAATTTAATTACAATTGGAGCCAATGTTTTCATTGTATTGATAGTTGATGCTTACATAAGGTTGATTTGAATTTTGATTAAACAACTGTAGTTTGTCTATTAGTCCGCACTTCTTTATAAATGTTGGAACATCTTAAAAATCTCATAAGTATCTTGATTCTATCATTGAATGTTTTAGATCATCTCACGTGATCTTTATATCAAGGGAGCAATCTGGGGAGTTGTTTCCTGATATTTCCTGATTTGTTTTCTTATTTAATTAAGAATAATAAATTTGTTGTATTATTGAGCTTGGGCTTCTTCTAGTAATTCTATTCTAGTACTTGACCTAATTATTAGAAATTTAGAATAAATAGGGCCTTTGAATCAGTATTTTGTAAAACATGATTGGAATTCATTGATTTAATAGAATAATATCATTGCCCCCTTTTCCTACCTAAATACTATAGTTTCAACAAAAAAAAAGAGTTTCTGTGGTTTTACTTAGGCCCCAGGTACCTCCTATTATTTGAAAGCACTTAGGCTGGATCAATGATTGGAATTCATTGATTTAATAGAATAATATTATTTCCCCCTTTTCCTACCTAAATATTATAGTTTCAACAATAAATAAATAAAAATAAGAAGAGTATCTGTGATTTTACTTAGGCCCCAGGTACCTCCTATTATTTGAAAGCACTTAGGCTGGATCCTTTAAATCATATCTATATTATGCTTCTTGGGGAATGTCTGTTTTAGTAGTAACCCAATGGCCTGGGGGCTGCCAGTGCTACTAACAGGGATACTGCAGTGGAACTATCTGATTGTGGCTCTGTTTTTGGATCATCCAACGAGCCCCAATCTGATAAATAATGTCCTATTGAATTTTTCCTGTCTACCATAGTCATTCTGTTTCAACATGTTATAGGGTTTTTAGTAAAAACGTAGATTCTTTATTTCATACTCATTTCTTGGGTACTTTAAGTGGGTAAGCCTTTTAGTAATGGTAAGATTTCGACCTTGTGATTTGGTGGTCCCTGGTTTTAGGCATGGAAACAACTCCCCTCATGAAGGTAAAACTGTACATGCACCCTCCCCGTTATTGCAATGGTTGTAGATTTTACTTTTTCAAATCATGGTGGTTCAAGATCCAAAAAAATGTCGCACCAGTTGTATCCTCCCTAGTAGATTTTTCATTGTCACATTATTATGCAAGATGCAATTTCGTACATTGGCATTCTGTGAAAGATTGGTGAGGTTTTTGCAATCACTCCACTTGACAAGCGGACCAAGTTTCGATGTAGTATTTAAGTATCATCCTCAAGGATTTGAGAATTTAGTAATTCTTACTCTAATGATCCAATAAAAAAACATTGATATGATTGAATGTGAATTAATGTGAAGTAAAATAAAACGATAATGTAAAATTTATAAGAACAATTATAAGAAGCGAGGATTGGACTCAGGAGTACTTACTAACTCTTAAATCTTCTTAAAATAAATATGATTTCAATTTCATGACTTCCACGTTCATTTAGTAATTCAACAAGATCCCTCAAAGTTGAATCCTAAAGTGATTAATCTAAAACATGATTCCTCTATGTTTTGAAATTAACACTTTGCATTAAGAACAATGAGTTGAACAAGGTGACTAAACAAATCAAGTCTATTCCTAGAGCAAGAGATGTTTAGGTGCAAGATTCAGTTCGGGTTTTTAAAAACGTTTTCTAACCGGATTCAAAAACCAAAAACCATACAACAGGTGATCAAGCCGATATAAGTATTAAGAGAAAAATCAAACACAAGTAATAAAAATGAAATGCATATATATATTTAAGAAGAAGAAGAGTTAGTAGTTACATCTAGACCAATCCTCAAAGATTTAGCCCCTCATGGCCATTTACAAGATCAAAGGAGTGGAAGAAGAAATTACAAAGGAAGAGATGAAGAAAAGGAGTTGATCCTCGTTCCCAAGTGATCCAGCCTCCAAATCTTCGTTCTCACTCTGTTCTTTCTTCCTCCTGTGCTCCCAGCTCTTGTTTTTCTCTCTGTTTTCCTCCTCCACAAAAATCCCCCTCGTTTCCCTTTTATATCAACTTTAAAACAAGGGAAGAATTGTAATTTTTAAGCTCACCCCTGCAGCTGTAGATTCACAGCTATGGCTGTGAGAACTCTTTCAAGGTGAAGTAAGCTTCACAGCTGCAGCTGTGATTTTACAACCATAGCTGTGGAAACTCCTTCAAGTTTAAGGAACTTCCAACGCTTTAGCTGTGAATTTCACAGCTATGGCTATGACTCTCTGGTGCTCTCTCTCAATCTCTAGTGTTCCATGGCTCTAGCTGTGAGCCCACAGCTTTAGTTTCAAGTCTCTGGACCCTTAAATTTGCATTCCAGATTTCCACAGCTATAACTGCAACTTTCTGACCTTCTGATTTCTTCCCAGATTTCCACAGCTATAGCTCCAGAACCACAGCTATGGCTGTGGAATTTTGTCTTCCTAAATTTTCTGCAAAAAATGAGGGAAATCATCATTAATTTTTTACTACTCTTCTATCTTTTAATATAAACTTAATTCTTCCTAATTAGAGTTAAATTATCATATATATATTTACAATTTATCCAAAAAGAGTACCAAAAGTTGAGTGTAATTCATGAATAAAAGACACTCAACAAAGATATAATTGTGTCCATTTTTTTTTAATTTTTATTTTGAATTTGATCTCTTGTACCTATGACGTCTTGCAAATTACCCAAAACACTCGCATCTAACCCTCTCCTAGTGGTTTTGTTCAAATTGTTATGTCTGAACTCCTTGATTTTCTTTTTGATTGGACTTGAATCAATTTACACACTCAGAAACCACTGCGTGCTTCTTTTACTCTAACCTAACGTTTGAATTTATTGTTATTTGTTGCAGATGATTTTGATCGATCAATCAATGAGGCAATTAAAGTAACCAAGTACGTGCTTATATCCTTTCCCACTTCGATATGTGTATTATGGGGATGGAGATAGGTTGGTCATACTCGTTCACCCTTGTCATGTACTCGTGGCTTATGTCTCTGTTTCTTCCATTGTCAGGCAGAAACAGCCATCTCCAGAACGTATGCCCAGGAGAGAATCAGTAGCAAAACCTGAAGCTTTGACTGATGGTGAATATGGTCCTCCGCAGGCCACACAAGATCTGAATTTTGGTATATCATCTCCTGAATCACCTGAATCTGATGATGATAAGGAAGATCATGAAACTGACACTTTGGATCGAAGGTGTGCAGTTTTTGTTTCTTTCAAGTATGTTCAAGTAGATGTTTTCTTTCTAAGTTTCACTAATCTTTTCATTTTAACATTAGCAATCGTCGAAGACAGAAACCTAAGCGGTACTCAGAAAGAGACTTTGTTGAAGAACTATCAGATAATGAGGCAGACTCTGACAGCGATGAAGAAATTGTTGGAGAAGCTGTATATGATGAAGAGTATCTCAAGAAACGCAAGCAGAAAAGAAAGTCTTCTAGTAGTTCTGAAGGAGATGAAGAATATCAGTGGGATGACTACAATGAAGAAGATGAAGAAGAGGAGGAGGATGATGATGATGATGATTCCTTGAGCATCAGTGAGGATAGTGACAAACCCCGCAAGGTCAAACAGTTGCATGGCCGAACTAGGAGAGAAACCAAACTCAGGTCTGTGGGTGAGATTCAATCAGGTCTAAGACGCAGCAAGAGGTCTACTAAAAATCGTATAAATTACCGGCAATATGAGGCGTCAGAATCAGAAACAGAGTTTATTAAATCTGAGAAGTCTAATACATCAGTTGATCACTCAGATTCGAGTGAGAATGGTCAATACATGATGGAAAGTGAAGATTCAGATGGCAGTGATGATGAAGAACAAGAAATGAAAGTAGATGAGCCTGTTACTTATCCTGCAGTAGAAGAGAATGAACAAAACCAACCTCCTGAAAAATCAAGTAGTCCTGGTCAGGAGGAAGTTGAGAACACAGGAAAGAGACGCTTCCTTGATTTGAATGAGCTTGCCCCTAGCACTGGTTTTGATGATGGTCCAAACTCAATAATGAAAGATGAAGACAATGATTACTGAAGCTTTCCATTCTGCTGGGATTGTAGTTTTATATCAGGGAAGCCAATGTGTATGATAATAGAACTATAAATTTTGTTATAAACGCCAGAGGAAGTTATGATCAGGTCTCTTCCTATGGCACAACCAGAAGCAGCGTGAGAATACTGAGTTATGTAGATTAGGTAGTCATTTTTTTTAGTATTTTTACATTCAAAGGGTCCTCCAAAATGAATGAGAAATTGCTGGGCTTTATTTAGCCCGTCCAATCCCTGTACAATAACTATTAACATACTGTAACTTTAAAAAAGATGTGCCTTTCAGATTAACAAGCCCTCCCTGTACTATCTTTTTTTCTTGAATTTTATTCTGATTAGCACTACAATAGAGCATATAGATTTTCGTCTTTTATTTTTAATATTCCAATAGTAACGTTTTATTAGGTTTAAATTTTTTTTGTATGTCGCTTTTAATTTTAACACAATCAACAATGACGCCGGTCTAATGCTATATTGCTTAACAGATTGTTGTCAAGTACTCAATACAAGTGGCAATACGTGTGTTGTTTTTTATCAAAGGTACTATTACTTTATTAGAGTTGTGTTGATTAACAATCGCTTTACCAATTTCAATTCACGAGGGAATATAATACTGTGTAGAACCAACATTGAGATGTGAGCAGTGAAATGACCATATAAGTTATTTTTAGGATTCTTAATCTTGTCTTCTGAATATATCTCTAGCTCTTTATTTTTGAGAGTAAGAATATTTTTATATTTTACTCTCTATTTTTGTTTCACCATTATATCATTTTCTTTTTAAATTTTTAAATTATTAATTACTTGTATTAACTTTCTATGTCAAGTGTTATCATTTTTTAAATACTCACTTTCTTTTGGTATATAATGATTTCGCTGTTATTCAATTTTAGGACTTCATCCATATTATATCCAACCTCTCATAATAATTATTTTCTATTTCTTAGTTTTTTTTGTTTGTCTATATCTCAATTACTTATATATTCTTAAATAAATTTCTTCAATTTAATTTTTTTTATCTCAATTATTTTATATTTTATATTTATATTTTAAAATTTTACTCAAAAAATGTTTATGCAATGCATAGTTCTTTCATTCAAATTTTGTTATTTTTGTCTTTTTTTTCTTCCTTTTTATTAAGGACAGGTCGATCATATATAGCTCATTTTTAAAACAATTGTTCAAGAAAGTGGGATTGTGCAAATCTCAGAATATTGTGGCCATATTTTTATCAAAATGAGACATTTTAAGACCCCTCTCCTTCACCCTCTGATCATCAGAGCATGTTTGTTTTTCCGTTTGTGCAATCTCTATACACATTTGCTGAAAAGCATAGGAAAAAAAAGTGTTTTTCCCTCTTCAGCGTTAACTTGACCTCTCTCCTCTCTTATTCAGCAATATCCTATATAATATAAGGTTCCATTATGTTCTCACAAAATATGAAACTAAAATTTGCTTATCCGCCGAAATCTTCGTATTATATTATATGTTGCAATATTGAAGCCACTATAACAGCAAGTTGTTTCAAGGGAAAAAAAATAACAATTAGGGAGGGACCTATCCCAATAATAATATATTTTATTAACTCTCTGATACAAGTTCAAAATTAATCCCAAAAGTAGGAGGATTTACAAGGATACCAAAGATCTCAGATGCTAGATTACAATCTGAACCAAACCAAAGCATTCAAGTATACAACCCCTCCTTTTTTAATCATCTCATGGTCTTGATTCTTGACTAACATAGATACATAGTACAATGAGAAATGTGTCTGCCCTCATGCCAGATTTTCCATTACACAACATCATGTAGCATTAACGATCCATCGATGGCACTGATTCATTCCTTGATCTACTTTATCCCCTGGAACCTCACCATTTTCCTTAAGGGACCCATTTTGCTGAACAAGTTCCTCCTCAATGGTTCCACTCTGCCTCAGCTCCTCGGCTTCTGCAGCTTCCTCAAGCGCTTCAATCAAGTTTGAGAGACACTTGTGAGCATCATCCAGTGGAGACTTAGGCATGAGATTTTCAGCAACATCAGCTGGTGTGATCTTAACCTCCCCAATTAGCCTCTCAATAGTGTCAAACAAAGGATGAGTTTCAAGCTTCAAGTAGTTATTAGCAAGCACTTTAAAGCCATCAAAAGTGCAATAAGAGAGTTGAATATGCTTGTCCATTCTCCCCCTCCTAATGAGAGCAGGATCAAGCTTCTCCACATAGTTTGTTGTGAACACAATCAACCTCTCTCCACCACAAGCAGACCAAATTCCATCAATGAAATTCAATAGCCCTGAGAGTGTGACTTTGCTTCCACCACTCCCTCCTTCGTCCTTGCCCTCTTTCCTAACAACAACATCCTTCTCATTCTCATCTTCTGACAACTTTTCTCCCTTCTTTTTCCTCTGCCCTGTGAGATCAAGAGAGCAATCAATGTCCTCAATAACAATTATAGACTTACTAGTGGTCTCAATCAGAAGCTTCCTCAGCTCAGTGTTGTCCTTCACTGCTGTGAGCTCCAAGTCATACACATCATAGGCCAACAAATTGGCCATTGCAGCAATCATGGTTGATTTTCCTGTCCCTGGAGGGCCATATAGAAGATACCCCCTCTTCCATGCCTTACCAATCCTTGCATAGAAATCCTTGCTCTTGCTGAAAGTCACCAAATCCTCTATGATCTCCCTTTTCTTCTCATGCTCCATGGCCATTGTGTCAAAAGTTGCAGGGTGCTCAAACACAATGTGACTCCACATGGTTTGCTTGTAACTTGGCCACTTATAGCCAGGGCTATTAGTGTACAACTTCCTTTGTCTATTCCTCAATCGAATCTCCTTTCCCTCCCTCATCACATGCTCCAAATATGACCCCGTTATGATGTCCCTATACTTGTTGTGAAAAGTGAGCTTGTAGAACCTTTTCTCTTGTTCAGGATAGTAAGACATTGGGGACCTTGTTGGTGACATAACTTTGTTACTGACCCACCAAACTTTTACACCTTTGAAATCATCGGTTACTCTCTCATACTCATCCATAGTCAACACCAAGTTGCTACTATCCTTTCCCATCTCAGCTTTGAGCCTTTTAGCACTCTTTGATGTGTTGGTACTGAGGTATGCCTCCACAGCTGCATAGGCCTCACTGCGCTTAAGCCTGTCCCCCATGTACTCATGGAAAGAGATTCTAATGTAAGGGTAGAAGTAACTCATGATCCTATGTGTGTACTTCTCGAAGAAACGTTGAACCTCGTAAGGACAGTATTGTCTCATGATCGTCCACAAGAACATGAAGCTGGCCAAGGTTGACCCCATTGTTGTCCACATCTCACTCATCTTCATGGTCGAGTTGATCAAATTTTCTTTGAAGGGGTGAGAGTTAAATTAGTTTATGAAAAGGTGAGGGGAAAAGAAAAAAGCAATGAGTGAGTGGGTTGGGGATGAGAATTGAGAAAGAAGTGTTTATAACCAAAATGAGTCAAATGACACTAGTGAAGGCAGTGTGGAGTATTTTTAAATTGGGAAAAGGACAAGTGAGATAGAATATTAGGTTCCACTAGGTGTTTTTGATTTGGTGGGACTATGTGGAAGGTGGTCCAAGAGGCTAAAATTATTAGCTGATTCATGGTATGTTGTGTCTTATTGGACACTGCAGGGAAAGAAAGCTCTAAAACTCAGCAAATACCATAACAAAACAAATGTGGCCCCTATCATGACTATTGAATTGACTAGTGAAACTCTCTGTTGAGGTTACTACTTGCTTGTCAATGGAGCTGACGGCCTTCTCAACATAACACATAATGGGGTCCTTCTCATGCTCACATTACTTTTCTTTATTTTTGGTGACCATAGGTTCGAAGAATTTATCAATTTTATTAATAATTCATTTCTGTCAGAAAATTTGATTATTTTATTTAAGGGGACTAATTTCAGTTCTACTAAGACCGACGACTTCATATTACTTAATTTCATGTAATTATGTGTGTCTACTTCTTATTGTTTCATTCAGTTCTTGTCATTTTCCTCAACTTGTTGAAACATAACACAGAGACAAGCATGATTCAAGTTAATAAAGTTACACCACTAATGTTTTCCAAATTAGATCAATGTTAGATGTTTGTTTCTTATCCAGTTTTTAAATTTTTTCCACTAACCGTTATTATAAAATTAAATTTGCGGTTCAAAATGTATGGCGGAAGTTAAAAATAAAGAAATAAAATGCTTGACGGATATTCGCTTATTAATAATAATGCAAAGAACCTTGAGGTCATCAAATTAATGCCTCCAGAGTAATTTTTTTTTGTAATTATGTTTCCTTTTCTAGAATAAAAGAATTTAGAACACAAAACGAATTCATTTTCTTTTTCTCTGCCTTGTTGAATAAGTTCTTCACTTTTCAGCTTCTAAACCAAAACGGGTTAACCTACAGGTGTGTGTTGTGAGTAGTTTGTTTGAGATCTTAACTTGAGTTTGTAAATAACCCAGCGAATCACCAAACAAATGTGGAACAATTAAATATGAAAGTTGGAATTAATGTTTAAGAGAGTAGGATTCTGTTACATACGACAACATTCTAGTACATCTAATCGTCAATCTATTATCTTGTTCAAGACTAAATTTGTAACTTAAGAAAGAAAATTAGATAATGTGATTGTAATTTTGCTGGGGTGAAGAAAGAAGAAATCTGCCACCGTAGAAAAGATATCTTAAAATGGAAATATATTGAAGAGAATATTTATTTGGCTGAAAGAAAAAAAATGGAATTGAACATAGTTGTTCTATGTGTGATATGTCCCTAGGCTAGCATTGGACAGTTCAGCAGAATCTCTTCACACTTACAGTAATGCCCATGTGAAGCCTCATACCTGCCACCTTTGAAATTTGAACAGGCTGGGTTGACACTTGATACCCTTTTCATTTTATTTTAGCTAATCCATTGATCATAGATAAACATTTTATTCGTAGAAATTAGATAGTTGTATTTCTAATTCAATTATCTAACAACCATTCTCCATTATAGAGCCCCATTTAATAAAGAATCCAAAACTTACGTGGCCAGTGGGAATAGGCCTTTTGGGGTTATAATAACTTTGATTAACGAGAAATTCTTTTCGTTAAATATATTTTTTATATGAATAAGAAAGAAATAGGAAGAGATAAGTGTAGAATAGAATAAAATAGATGATGCGATAGAAGGATAAACAAATATTATAAAAAAATTATGCAATTGTGCTTCATGTATAACCTTCCTCGGTTCCTCCTCTTTAAACGAAAATATTATTAATAAGGACACTATCCAAATTAAGTGGTATTGAAGCAGTGAACTACAACAAGTCGTTCATATAAATTATATATCTTTGTTTCCTTTTACATTATTTTATCCTAAGATTTTGTTTGTGTTTTTTTTTAAGATGAATCCGGTGTTATGGGACGCGGAATTCGGTAGCGGAACATAAAATTGTTGAACAAATTAAGCCACTTTCTTATATAGAGCCATTATTATTAATTAGTGTCTCTCAAAAATAAATTTCACTTGCTTCAATCCGTAACATCAACTATGGTACAGCTGGTAAGGGTTAAAGAAGTGAAGAAGTAGACAAAACTGTGGTCATTATCACTCGCGTGTTTAAGGTAGTGTTTGTTTCCATGGATTTACTGTTCACGAGCAAAGAAAGGTGAAGAAACTTGTTGTTCGTTTCCGGTGATTTGCGACGACGAAAAGGTGAAGGAAAGGGGGGAGAAGCGTGATTCTCGTCCTCGCACAAAAGCGAAGAAAGCAGAAGAAAGCCACGTAGGATTTATAAAAACCCAAAAATGCCCCTTCGCATGCATGCGTAGTGTGCCATGCAGTAGAGGAAGCATATACAAAGAAAGCATAATCGATTATGCAAGGTTACATAATCGATTATGCAAGGCCATAATCAATTATGTAGTCTTGCATAATCGATTATGCTTGGCCACATAATCGATTATGCTGTGTATATATACACAGCATAATAACATAATCGATTGTTATATGTTATACATATAACATAATCGTATATATATATAAAATATTAATATTTAATATATATATTATATATTAAATATTAATATTTTATATATATATACGATTATGTTATATGTATAACATATAACAATCGATTATGTTATATATAAATTAAATATTAATATTTTTATTTTTTCACTTTTATATATATTAAAGTTTGTTTATTTATATTATACAATTTTTTTTATATTAAGAAAATCCTATTATTTAAATATTAATATCAAAAAGTGAAAATATAAAAAAAATAATACCTGTTTATAAAATTAAAATAATAATATTTTTTATTTTTATTAATATTAATATTATTTATTATAATTAGCATCATTATTATTTATTATGATTCTTATTATTTTTTTAATATTTATTTTTATTCTTATCATTATTTATTATTTTTTTAAAAATTATACTTATTAATATAATTTTATTGTAATTATTATTATTTATAATAAATAATATTATACTCATTTTAATCTAAGGGTAAAAGTATAAATCATATTTATTTATTAAATTTTTAATTTTTATCTATCATTAAATTTAAAGTAAATATTTAAATTAAATTATTTTTAATATTTTATAATTTTTTAAATTAAAATTTATATATTTATTTTTTAATTATAATAATTATAAACTTTTTTAACTTAAGGGTAAAATAGTAATCTTACACAATTATCAATTAAAAAATTTATTTTTATCTATCACATCAATCAATTCACTCACAAACTTTCACAAACTTTCTCTACACTTTCCACTCACTTTCCCTTAATCCAAACAACCTCACTTTCCACTCACTTTCCCTTCAAATCTTTCCTTTTCCACTCCCCCTTTTCTATCTTCAAATCCAAACAAAGCCTAAGTGAAGAAAAAGCCATAGGTTCCACTATTGTTTTCAGAAGGTTGACATATTACTTTTCTAAATTCTCTCAATTCTTAAATCTTTTTCTTCTGCGGGGTATCTCTTGTCCACAGAGGAAACGACTGTATCTTAGAAGAAGAAAATGATTGAAAAGAAGGACAACCTGCAAACCCAGGTAGTCTCAAAATTGTTGTATAAATAGAACTTGATCTTATATTTTATCACTCGTGCTTCGTGCTTCTGTAAATGTTTACATATAATTATTTTATTAGTATATTTATTATTCAACTTTTAAAATTTTACATATTTTATCAATCTCTTAATTGTTTATATGATATTATTAATTGATCATTAACACTTAAATTATTGACATAACATTAGACAAAGATATTGTTGCGCACATGACTACTTTTGTGGTGTCTGACAAAAAAAATTAATTATACATTTTCTTACACAACTTTTAAAACCCTCATAGTCTAACATAGTTTAGTTTTCAAAATAGTTAAATTCGAAATAGATTTTTAACACCCTTACTTGTGATATAGAAGAAAAAAACCTAAAATACAAAAATAATTACTTTAAGATAAAATCTACCCATTTTAACTACTTATCTAAATCAACTCTGATTTAAAAGTGTGTTAAACTGAATCTCTTCTTATTTTTTTTACATTTTACTTTTTATTTAAATAAAATAATAGATAGAGACACAAAATATCTTAATTACACTAATAATAATAATAATAATAATAATAATAATAATATGACCCGTCAGGGTAAAAGGTAAGAGTCGAGTAACCTAAATAATGGCATTCTTTTCCAAAAGAATAAATAAATAAATAAACAATGAAATTTAGAAGGCCGCATTTATACATGGCTACATTTAACTATCCAAGCTCCACTATATATACAACATTGAAGCTAAACTATGACTGCAAAACTTATTTACTTTGTTCCTCACTGAATTCAAAGATGGCAACCTATACCTCAACGTTATCTCATGTTGCAGCACTGAGGCCTTGTCTGCTTCTGCAATTTATTCCACAAGCATGTCATCTGCCTAGGCGATTGGTAATGGGCTGTGTAATAGTTTTCTACACAACCAAACTGGCAGAACTTGATGCTATGCAAATAGTGAACTGGATTCGTTCTGTTAAATTGCTCGACCCACATTCCCATACTCACATCTTCCATCTTAAACAACTGCATAAAGAAGAAAATACAACAACTTCAACCACTATGGACACCAGATGCACCAGCATGGAGATACTTGAGACATCAAAGGACAATATAGAAAATGTGCAATGATAAATTAGTACACTAACCCTTAATTTATGAACCTCAAATTCTGATACTATATAGTGTGCAATATCAGAAGACAAAATATAACCCGGTCCATTAGCATAGGGTGGGTAATAGTCTTGTGGCCACTCCTGAAAGTAGAAGACAGCAATAAATAAATACATACACCAAAATTATCACCAGCAAGACGTTAGATGTGACAAGAATAAGGAAACGAGAGCCAGTTTTAAATCAATCACAACCAATTCTATTAGAGTAAGAGCTCCGAATGCTCAATAACATAGTATTTGGTTGGAGGAGAATGGAGGGATAGGATTTTTAAATTTTTTTCTTGTGTGATTCAATTTTAAGGAGGGATGGAAAAGGAGCAAAATTCCTCCTGATCCAATTTTAATTCTCCGGATTTGAAGAGACGAGGAGGAGACTTTAAAACATTTTTAAAATAATACCCAAAATATATTTTTTTATATTATTAAATTTAAAATTATAAGGATACAAAAGTAAATTAGTTTTTATAATCTCTCCTCGTTTCTGAACTAAACAAGAAAAAGCTATACCCCCTCTCTTTCCTTCCTCTCAACAAAATAAAAAATTTCTAACTCCCTCTCTTGGCTTCCTTCCCTTTTTCCCCCCTCCCCTCCTTTGAACTCCCCTCCTTTGAACCAAACAGACCCTGAAATTTTCATTGAATGCTATGTGTATATGATAAGAGTAGCAGGCAACAGGTTCTGATTACCGCATATGTTACAGCCCATTTACCACGGCGCAAGGGTTTGTGGTGGAAATTAATGTTCCCAATATAAAAGCTCATAGAATATGGAACATTCCTTGCTAGATTCATAACAGCATCAACTTTTACAAAAGTGTCATCATCACCCTTCATTATATAGTCCGCAGAAACTGTGTAAACCTGTGAACAGTCCAGCACATCTTATATATTAACTTAAAATTAATTCTTCTTTTAAGCTGAAAGATTTTTAAACAATCAACAACTTACCCCATATTCACATATGGCCACCGTTTTCAACACAACAAGATCATAGTTATCCATGTAAGGAACAATAACAACATCACCAAAATATTCTGCTTCCTTCTTCAACTCTACATTAACTTCTTTCCTTGGATGCTGTTAAAACATTCAACAGTTAAGAAATGTACACGACGAACCAAATAACCATAAAATAAAAAAACTTGTCTGCAGTACCAGTGCTACAAAGAAACGAGCCACAACTTTAGAAGATTTGATAAACCTATGCTGCATCCATGACCTCCTCAAAGCCATCCGCTCAGCAAAATGGTTTCCAGCAGAAAGGATCCCTATGAACAATTCCACACCGAAGCGAGGAAGAGTCGGGGCACGCCATCTGGTCAAAAATTCAAGATGCTGCTGCGGGGAAATGTTGGGATGCACCGAAGGCAAAGAGGCAGCAAATACAGAATGGACATCAATGTCTCCACTCAAAGAGAGGCCAGTGGCATCCTCAAGAGTAAACCCCTGTCGAAGTTAAAACAAGAAGATTCTTATGTAAAAAGTAAAAAGTAAAAAGCCCTTCAAAGTTCAAAGTAATAAGTTGAAGGACATTGATTAATGATTACCCACAGTGCGATAAGGAAAAGAGGTGACATGCCTCCCATCAACATTAACATGATAGCCCTCTAACCCGGCACTAAGAGTAAGAACAAATAGCTTGTTCTCAGAAAATGGAAATGGCCAGTCAACCATTACATGTTTAGTCCGACCTATCAGTCTCTTCAACCACCATGCTGCCTGGGACTCCTCCGCATGCCTATCATCATCATCACCCCCAATCCATTTCTCACACTTGACCAACCCATCCACTGCATCAAACACATGTCACAACCATCAAAACGCAATTTGAGTAAAGGATTTATCAGGAATTTGCTTATTAAACATACGTTTTCTTACCAGTATCTTCAGCAGCTCTGGATTTCCAACCATCACAACGCAATGCAGAACCCCAATGCATGCGATAACAAGTGTTGAGCTCAATGACAGGCTTCCCACTCCAATCCCCTTTAAGCCTGGGATTGAAATGCAAGACCCTAGGTGGGTCTTCAGCCTCCACGGTCTCCAACCCCTGCAACTCCATCACGAACTGACACCTCCTCCGTTGCGCCCTCAAGGGCTTCCCAACCACCGTAACGTGGGAGCCCAACGTGAGGCCACAGGGAATGACCATGACACTCCCGCGGCCCAGAAACTCAGGCCCAGACACGGAGACAGAGCGGGGGCAAGGCCCAGATCGGTTCTGGGGCTTCCAAACGAGGGCTGGCGATTGCAGGTCGGCCCAAACGGCCTTCCCCGCACGGCAGGCGGATTGGTAGAGGTCCGAATCGAATGCGGCGTGGTTTAGCAACAAGCCGGAGACGACACCGTTTGGGCGGCGAAAGTGAACGTGAGGGTGGGCGCGAGTGGGAGAGGGTTGGTGTTGCGTGAGTGTGAAGACGAAGGGGATTTCGAGGGTGAAGAAGACAAGGTAGAAAAGCGCAAGAGCGATGAGAATGTAAATGAAGCGTTGCCTGCTCAATGCCACCAAACTCTTGCCTACTCTCCCTCTTTTCATCTCTTCGCATTGCAATTTCCGATCGATCATCACCACGTCGTTTCTAGTTTCTACCTTACCTTACCTCCGCCATGCATCTCTTATCATTGCAATTTCCCGACTTTATAAAATTATGCCCAGACTCCATTTCGTCACCAATTCGGTTTAAGTTTTTCATGATGCATCCATCACAATTTAAGCTACGTAAATTAGTAATTTAAGTTTTTATTTTTTTCCTTTCTTTTAAATTAAAAATTCATAATATTTTTATTTCTTTTCTAAATTTTAATATCTTTCTTATTTATTTTTATTCATTTATTTATCTTTTTATCTATTTATTTTTTGGCAGCCAAACACAAATTTAAATCTTTTAGTAACATACCTAGAAAAAAAGTATCTAAATAAAGTTTACTTAAAGAAAACAAAAGAAAGATTAACCAAGCCCCAAATGTCCACTCTTCTGCCAATTATTTTGATGAAGATATGACATTGGACCAGAATTGTTCTGAGCATGTCGCTCTTAGTTGGGCTTTCGTTTCTAACTAGGCTGCTTATCCACTTAGACAAATCCATATGAATCACTTAATAACATAACGAATTAAGAAACTAAAAGAATGTTGATGAAAAAGGCTTGGGGGAGAAGGAGTTAAAAAACATTTTGCTAGACAAAAAAATATTTTTAATATGTTTGGATAAACTCTCTATAAACATTTATAGAAAAGAAAAATAAGAAGAATAAATTTCTTTATAAACTAAAATTAACTTGTATGTAAGTTAAAATTAAGATTTTAAAGAAGTTAATAGGATAAAATTTTTATAAATCAAATTATGCATAAGTAAATTGTAACTTATGAAGAATCATATTTCATTTTTTTTTCTCTTATAAGTGTTTTCAAAAAAGTTTAACATAAATCATGTTAGTATGTTACAAAGTAAATGTTTGTGTTTACATTTTTCACAATAGAGATAGGAATATGTTGGCCTGAGCAAATTATTAATTTCAAAAGTTTGGTTAATTTATTTGTTACAAGTTTTGTTTATGACCAAACCCAACTATTTTTTTTTTAAGAGGTGACTAGACCCAACTTAATTGGTATGTATAAATCTGACCTAATTTTAAAATTTATATAAAATTTATTCTATAATAAAATCTTTAAATAAGCCAATTTATTCGCAATATACTTGTAACAAACCTATTTGTATATAAGGCCATTAAAATGACCCATAACTTATTCCTAAACATGCCATCAGCTTCTAATTAACTAACAGTCTTACAAACCTATACAAACTTGCAATATATCAATTCATTTACAAACAATGTAATTACTATAAAATAAAAATAAATAAATAAAAAAAAGCTCCTAGATATTTTGCTACAAAAAAATAATTTAGATCTAAAGTATCCATCACAATCTCTAAATTACAACGTGCAAGACCATGTTTTTCTTCATATTGTGCCACTTGCACAATGTCACTAATTCAGTTTACTACTTTATATGATCAAAAAATACATGGGCTAGTGTATATTTTTAAAAATAATTACATCTATACTTGGAAAGTATAGATTATAATTATTTTTTTAAAACAATTACGTCTATGTTTTTAACTATTTATATACCGTACAGGTCCGAGCCCGACCCAGCTGAATCAATGGTTTGAACCGACCCGACCGAATCGACCGATGCCCTAAACCAATATTTATTGTGCCGACCACCCGAGCATACCGATCCCTCACAAAATAGTAGGGATCGGCCTACTCGGCCCATTCACGGAACTCCTAATACGATTACGACAGTTTAATTTAAGTAATGAGCCGGATTAACCCCCTAATTTTCCGGGGCCCAGTTCCTAATCACGGCCCAATAAGGAACAATATAAATAGACCCCCTTCGAGGTACGTAACTAATTTTCAACTACCGCATTTATTACGCCGAGCACTTACTTGAGCGTTGGAGTGTCTTTGCAGGCACACCCCCCTCACATCGGACTACCCGGATAGGAACGACAAGACCGAGACCCAAGATCCGACCCGTTATAACAAGGATAATTGAAGTGTGTATCCTAACACAGGAACATTAAACCCTAAACCCTAAACCATAAAAACAATCCCTCAAATTCGATCCCCATCGAACCTTAAAGAAGCCACTCTTAAAACCTTTATAAGAGGAGGTAAAGGCCCGAAGGAACCCCCGCTTCAGCACTCGAGCCAATGACACCCATTTCACCGGTTTGCTCGGGCGACAAGTATAATAGTAAAGAAAAGCTAGGGGTCGGGGAGTGAGACCCAAACTTAGGCATAGGTTCCGAAACGCCTACATCGCGGCCCAAGCATTCGGATGCAACTGTGTCGGGGCCGCGTTGAGCACTCGGAGTACCCCCATTTGAAAATCATCAAAGGGCAGCTGAATGCCGAGGTCTTGGAACCAGCACATATATGCGTAAAAGTAGTCATCTTCGTCGGGTCCCGGCTCCATAAAAACGAAATCAGTGTCCGGCCCGTCATCTACACACGCCTCGGCAAGCAGCGGAAAGTGACCCTCCCCAATCCCGAAGCAATTTTCCAAGGACACAAACTTATCCAATAGTCCTTGGTCGGACAGCTTAGAGAAGTAGATGCCGACTTATCCGTCGACCCATTCATATCTCGGCATCTCCACCGTGCCGTAGTCGATCTTTGCTTTGGGCTGAGTACTCGAGCCGACGACGCCTTTGCCTCGCACATCAACGGGCTCTACTTCTTCCTCGTTGCCCTCGGCCTGAACCACCTCAATATTTGGTTTCGACTGATCGACCCAGCCTACGCCTCTCGCATCTACCTCGGTGGCTTGCGCCAAAGCCACGGCCAAGGACGCCGGGTCCATTATTTCAACCACATCATCATCACTATCCTCCGGTTCGGGGTGGTCGGAAGGGAATACAACTTCACATTGCAGTGGGGGTAGCCTAGATATCTCACTTGAACCCGACCCCTCCCTATCTGACTCAGTGCCCGACGCGTCCGATGATGTCCAACTCCTAGCCGAGGAATAGCCCTTCTCCATTTATTACAAAATAAATAATTACAAAATTTACCTTTTTCGGTATGCTCGGAATTATTCTGTTCGAGAGAGCTCGGAGAAATTACAACAAGTAAATTCTCTCACACCCACCCCCCTATTTATAGGCAAGGTAAATGGGGGAGGCGAAGAGACACGTCCGGATCACGACCGTTCGATCTTTCCCATCCAACGGTCCAGATTTGGTAATCGTTACACTCGTAACTGCTGAGGCCAACGTGGCAGGTCCCACTCACCTAAGACCTCGAGAGAAGGTATCGGTTACTCAATGTTTTGGCCTAGGCCTAATCCAATCGAGGCCCCTGCATAGGATCCACACCAATTACCGAGGCCTCGGTAATTATCCGCCACTACTCAAGGTCTCGGTATGTGCCCCATCAATTACCGTGGCCTCGACGCTTATCCACCCTACCTCAACATTTCAGCATATTCCATGCATTTTACTGAGGTCTCGACGCTGACCACACCACTCACGGTCTCGGTGTATATGCCACCAATTATCGAGACCTCGGTGCTCATCCACCGGTACTCGAGGCCTCGGCATGGTACCAAGACCTTGATACTTATCCACCAAGCTCGAGGCCTCGGCATAGTCCCACCTATTACCGAGACCTCAATGCTCGTCCATCGGTGCTCGAGACCTCGGTATAATCTCCCGAATCCACCTCGATTGGTCGTGCCTACAGTTGTCAGGTCCTCGACGATGATCCCCAACACCCGAGGCCTCAAGTCCCAGCAACGTCCCGGCAGAGACCTCATTAGTCGGTACCCCATGCCACTAGACTAAATACCCATCCCTCCGAGTCAAACTGTAAATTTTTGCCATTCTTTAACCGTTTTCGTCTTTAACATCCTCAACGCTGTGGGGATTGTATACCGTACGGGTCCGAGCTCGACCCAGCCGAATCAATGGTTTGAACCGACCCGACCGAATCGACCGATGTCCTAAACCAATATTTATTGTGCCGACCACCCGAGCATACCGATCCCTCACAAAATAGTAGGGATCGGCCTACTCGGCCCATTCACGGAACTCCTAATACGATTACGACAGTTTAATTTAAGTAATGAGCCGGATTAACCCCCTAATTTTCCGGGGCCCAGTTCCTAATCACGGCCCAATAAGGAACACTATAAATAGACCCCTTTCGAGGTACGTAACTAATTTTTAACTACCGCATTTATTACGCCGAGCACTTACTTGAGCGTTGGAGTGTCTTTGCAGGCACACCCCCCCTCACATCGGACTACCCGGATAGGAACGACAAGATCGAGACCCAGGATCCGACCCGTTATAACAAGGATAATTGAAGTGTGTATTTTAACACAGTAACAATTTATTTTCTGATATTTTCAAAACGATTTATGATCCATTATTATATATTATCTTATTAATAATTCAAATTTTTAAGAATTTTTAAGACAATTAATTAAGACGTGAAATATTATGAGGTAAAAATGAGTGCACGTTATGCATTTGTTAGAGTTTTAACTTAAAAAAACCCTAAACTTTAAAATTTGCAAGGATACAGTCATACATTACAGATCTTTTACGAAGCTTCCCTCTCTCTCTCTCACACACAGCTCTTTTTTTTCTTTTTTCTTGTTTTTTTTCTGGGTTCCGAAGTAAATTTTCAACTTATAGAATAAGTTATACATTTTCGTTGTTCTATTGTCAGAACATTCATAGATGTAGTTTGAGAATTTTGAAAAGCAGAAATGGGGTGGGGAATGGTCTCGACAGAATTGTTCGAGAATTCATTGAAAGTGTAAAAGATTCTGCTCCATTTGTCCGCATTATGCAAGGCAAATGTTTTTTTTCAATATTTTAATTTACAACATTTTTATTTTCAAAACACTCGTTATCAATTAAACTATTTCAAAGAAATGAACAATTATTTGATAATGTGGTGTTAATTCAATTCTTAGTTCATAATTATTAATTAAAAAAATAGAGTAAATGATACTTTCTCTCTTAATAGATGAATATGAATGTATGTTATATATTTTAATTGATTTTAATATAAATAAACATTTTAGATATTTGAATATCTATTATTTATAATGTAATATACCTAGATAAATTAAATGTAAATACATATTGTAGCAATAGCATACCTCATCATGTATCAAATGTGAATTATCATTTATCTTACGATTAAGGTTTTAGATGCATAAAAGAATGTAATTTGAGGATAACAATTTTCTTCGTCGCATGAAATGAAAGAAAAGTTTTTTCAACATATATTATATAAGTGATGTAAATCGTCATAAGTCATTTATAAATTGATAAATATGCCTTCCATAGTTAATAAACATACCTCCTTTATATTATTTTTCTAAAAAATACTCATTTTTGAATAATATATATTTTACGCAGAGGTTTTTTCTTAGAAAAAAATATAAATAAAAAAATAACACCGATGTGAATGCACTTTCTCTCTGCACTCTCACCCTCTCCACGAGAAGACATATTTAGGTTTAAAAACATCCAACTATTCAAGACATTGTTTCCTCTTTGCAACTACATCGTGATGGCTGCTAAACAATTTTGATTTTAAAATTAGATAAAACCTAGATCAAAATCAGATGGATGATTAATGGCTTGTTCCACGAGCTTTATGAACATACTCCTATATTACTAAATGACTCAAATTCCAAATCTCTCAATATCAATATATAAATAGAGAATTTTTAGGGTATCCTCTATCATGTAACAAGGCACGAGAATTGTGTCTTAGTGAACAAAAAGAAGAGTACGGAATAGTGTTAACTATCAACTATCACCTTTTAAATTAATAATTAATTTCCATAATCAAAATTGTATAAACTAAATTGATGTAAAACTTATGGGCTACATTATTAAATTAGGAAACTAATTGTGATTAAGCATAAGTCAAGAGAATAAGCGAGGAATACGATATTTATTTTGGTTTTATGTTAAAAAGGTCTAAAATATATATGTTATTTTATCTCTTAATTATGTGGTGGTGATGGAAAAGTACCACAGTGAGTGCCGCCAAAAAAAAAAGTACAAAGGAAAAATAGAAATTTATATATGTTTTTTATTGACTTGAAAAAAAACATGAGGTATTTCTGTTACTTATATTTCGATTTTACAAAACACGTATGATAGAGTAACTACTAGTGTGAGAACTTTACGAGGTGTGGCTATGGACTTTCCTGTAGGAATAATACTGCATCAACGCTTAAACTTTAGTATTTACTTGTTTAATATAGTCCTGGACGTGCTTAGGAGATAAAGACAATGATTGTCTCTATCTATTTTTTATATATATATAGTTAATCAGTTATACATTACTTGTGTAAAAAAAATTTATATTGACAATTAATTATATCTTTTAATTGTATTATGTTACTGTAAATATTTATTTTTAATTGAAGAATAAGAAAATAAATAAATATATATATATATAATAGTTTTATTGAGGAATAAGAAAAGCAAATAATTAACCCTAACCTTGAACTTTTGAGATAGCCTTCAAAATCAAATGATTTGATTTTCAATTGAGTAGGAGTGTGACATATGCAATGCAAATGACTTGGAAGTAAAAAGGGAGAAATATCACACTACATTTTTTTTAATTAAAATATTTGGGATAACATTACAAAATGATAAAAACATTAACAAGGATATCTTAAATAAGATTAGAGGTAACAAATGAATCAACTTATTTATTATATATATGATTTATTTATTAAATAATTCATTTAAGTTATATAATAAAATAAAAAATAAAAAATTAGATTCAATCTATCTATTTTATTTTATGAATTATTAATGATCTATTTATTATTTTTTTAAAAATTTATTAGATTATAATATGAGATATTTATTAGATTGAGATTTAAAAAAATTTATTTTAACATATGAAAAAGATCTTAAGAATTTTAAAAAAATATATATATAAAAATGTAATGATTTATATAAAAGAAAAAAATTTAAAAAATGATATTTAGATTTTTTTTTTTTTATGAATAGATCAAATATTCATTCATTAAAAAAATTATTAATAGATAAATTTGATAAATCTTTTGTTTTAAATAAATTAGATGAATGAAATTTTTAAATGATCTAAATAAATTAATGAATAATTTTTATAGATGCGATAAAATTATAGAATCCATCTTTTTACCATATGTAAGTTTAATTGTTAAATGGAGGAAAAACATAAAAAATTGTTTGTTATAGTAAAGTACCTACCCCAATCAGAGAGAAGTACTTATGTCGTATCGTATGATGTCTCTCTATAAAATACAGCAGTGAAAGTTAGACTTAAAAGGGATAATAATAAGAAGAAAAAAAATGAATATAACAAATGTAGATACATGTGTGACCACACAAGAACAAAAAGGATATCAAATGATTATATATATATATATAGATATATATATATATAATATAATATAATATAATATAATATAATATAATATAATATAATATAATATTAGTGTGACACTAATTAAGAAAAAAATGGCAGAATAATCGATAAAAGTAGTTTGTACAAAAAAAAAACAAAAACACTTCTAGGGGTCACAGTCCAATTGCATTGTGTGATTGACTTCATTTTTGTAGTTATATTTAAAATAGCAGTAAAACTTATAACTAATAGTGTATTAAAACTATGATTCTCATTCTCAAACACTTGAATGAAATCTCATATTTTCTCCCTAATTATCATTTATTTCAATAAACTTTTTATTTTATTTTACAATATTTGTTTTAATTTATAACGACATTATTTTATGTTTAAAAAATAAAATAAACGATTTTAAAATAAAATTAAAAGCAAAATATATCAAGTTGACATTTTTTATAAATGTATAGAGAATCATATAAGCATATATTATTATATCATTATATTATTAGTATAAAATATTTATCTATTTTATTAATGATTGATTTTTGTCAAAAACTCTAAGTGATCATTTTAGTGATATTTTCTTAAATCTTTTCATTAGAATACTTCTAATAAAATCTAATTAATTTAAAATAAAAAGTATGTTAAATAAAAAGAATTAATTATCGTTCATATTAAGTTTCTAGAATACTTTAATTTAAATCGAAGAAAATAAATACATATATCACTTTGCCGGAAATTTTAGAGGAGCCAAATTTCTTTTAATGATATAAATGTTTAAACGATAATAAATGCTATCTTAAAATTACTAGTTCAAAATTTTAATGATTGTCTGCAAGAATATTTAGTTGAGGCAAAAAAAAGTTGTTAGATTAAAGGGGGAAAGCAAATTTTCCTTCCAATTAAAGACATGTTCACAATAATTTCTGCAATTTTCAAATCCAATATTAATGTTATGTTTGGTTTACCATTTAAATATTTAATTTGACGCTCACGTTGAATTGATTTATTTGGTAAATTTTTTTCTTATTAAGTTGAATGATATTTCTATTTTAACATACCTCTCAACCAAAATAAAAATATTGTTATATATATATATAAGGTATTACTTATGTATATAATATATTATTTTATTAAAAATATTTGATTGTTTGATATGTAAGGTACTGATATCTATTAAATTTATAGAAGTTTCATTGTATATTTAACAACTTGAATTGTTTTATTTTTTTATTGATAGTAGTGAATATATTGATTTGATTATTCGTTTTTTTTTTGGGCTCTTGTATTATTTGACTGTTATGAAACTATTTTAGTATTACTTGTAATTTAATTTATGATATTATTTTTTAACAATAATAATAATAATATTTTAACAATTCAAATATAACTGAAAAATAATTAGATAAATAATATTTATATTATTAAAGTAATTTTAATTACTATTACTGAAACAAATTTTTATTTTGATAAAAATCTTTTAAAATAAAAATATGTAAACATAAATAAATTAAATTAAAGTCAGTTTTAATTAAATTTAAATTTAAAAAACTGAAATCAACTCTATTTAAATTTTTAACTATTAATTCAATCATACACTAACCCCACATGGTGGCACTTTTCTTCCTCTTCGGCCTTTTAGGCTTTTACTAACAAAGACCCAACAGCAATTACGACCCGCATGTGTGCAGTGTGCTATGCCTATGAGCCTATCACCACCAGAGACTATACTGGAAACACCATTCCCACCAACATTCAACAATTTTTTTTAATATAATTATATTATTATTGTAAAGTATTTTGATCACTAATTTCCAAGCCCAGAACTAGATCGGTATGTATCTTTTCTTTCAATTACATTTTTCTAAAAACTCATCATTCTCTAATTCAATATTTTATTGAAGAAAATTAAAATACAGTTTTAATAAAATCATAAAATTTATACAAAAAAATTGTTGGTTAAAGTCATTTAACATTCGAACTTAATAAAAGTTATATATGAATCTTCGGTGGGCATGGAGTCACAAAAATACAACTTTACTTATGTAAAGACAGATTTGATTGGAAAGAGTTATATTAAAAAAACATAGCAGTTGTCAGTTAATTCAACATAGGGAGTATATTTGAATTTTTTACATAAATATATTTTTTTTAAATTACTCAATTAACCACTGTGCAGCTTTATTTAACATAGGGAGTATATTTGAATTTTGTTGCAAATGAATGTCGTCTGTCAATTATGTTTTGTTCAGGAGTGACGTACTAAGGATTTGATACATGCTGACCAGTCTCTTCATGCGATCGCATGGAAGTTCGACCAGTCTCAAATGTTGTGGAAGTCCTTTGTTGTTGATGGGTCCTTGGATCTTGTAGTAGTCGTGGCACAGATAAAAAATAGATGGAATTGGCCATGTACCATTCCATGTATTCTCGTGTGTGAAACAGTGGGCCTTGCATTGGATGACCCATCAATGTGTGCTCACGTCTATTGTTCCATATGTCGATCCACTGAGCATGTCTTGTAACCCAATTTTCATCTTGTCTTCCCCTCATGTCAATGTTGTGCAGGTTATCCAAATTATTCGGTGGAGAAGGGACATCCTGGAAGAGACGAAATTGCAATTTCACTCTATCAGATTGGTGCCATTCAACAATTGCAAAACAAATAATGGAGGTGCATGATGTCCATAGCAGAGCATCTCTATATGCTTGCATCGGTATTGCTGTTTGCAATACTCCATATGGCGCCCATAAAAACTACAAAAAAAATTAAACTTCTTTAGTTAACATATTATGCTAAACAAAAGAAAATAAAAAAAAAACTTTGATTTTAAAGAGTTACCTGATCATTCTGAATGTGATCAAACCTTGATCTATATCCAACAACATCATTATGAGGTACATTTTGAAAGTTTAAAACTCTGCCCCCGCTCCATTTACAGACTAGAGGGAATGATGCTGGTAACCTGGAAATAGGCGCAATATATGGCATGCGATGCCATGCCCAAGATTGTAACAGAGATGCACAACCACCCATTGTTTTGCTACTAACATTTGTAGCTCTACACATTTCCCTATATAACATAGCTAAACAAGCCGACCCCCAACTATATCGTCTTGTTCTTCTAAGATTTATTAATAAAGATAAATACATAAGATGTACCTTATTGCCTGTTTTGTCAGGCATCAAAACACCTCCTATTAACCCTAATATATATGATCTACAATGTGCATCAAGTTGTTCTTGAGATGGCTCCTCTGGTAATTCTAACATATTATCTCTTAACCACTTTAACTTAATCATAGAGCCAATTAGTGACTCACCTTTAACTGGCATGATTCCGAGATAGGTGGAGCACATTTCCTCCCAGTCATATAATGTTGGGCCAATGACTGGTAAACCATCAACTCTTAAGCCAAGTTGAAGTGCAACATCCTCCAGTGTTATGGTGCACTCTCCAGTTGGAAAATGGAATGTATGAGTCTCAGGTCTCCATCTTTCAACCAAAGCTGTGATTAATGCGTGATCCACTTTTAGATGTCTGAGCTTTGCAACCCCAGAAAAACCCACTTCCTCTAGTATAGGAACAATTAGAGGGTGAGGTTCTGGCATTGAATGACAGTAAGAACAAATAATATTCTCAGTCTCCTGCAATAATAATTACCAAAATTAGTACTAATTTGTTACAAGTTAATTGAAATTTAAAGTATATAACGAAAGTGCTGAACTTACAGTTCTACCAATGAAAGCAGACCTATGCTCATTTTGCTTCCACAACAACATTTTTGATATAGTTAATAAAAATTGAAGAAAAAAAAAATTTCTTACTATCAAGGTGAATCAGAAGCAGTACAAGAAAGGAGTAAAAAAGACAAACTCAGCTGAAATTGCATAAAAAAATGAAGGGGAGGGGGTCTATTTATAGAAAAACGCAAGTTTTACTGTTTACCCAAAACGGGCCGTTCTAAAACCAGAACGGCCTGTTCCAAATCACAAACCCTTTGTTAAAACAACTCCTGGAATGGGCCGTTCCAGGAGTTAAAAAAACTGTGTAATTTCTATTTTGGAACAGGCTGTTCTAAAACAAGTGAATGGTTCTATCCCTGTAAATAAAGCTGCACAGTGGTTAATTGAGTAATTTTTTTAAAAAAAAATAATATGTGTAAAAAAATTCGAGTATATTTTGTAAGAAGGCATACGCAAACCCAGAAATTTGAAACATGATAACGTTAACACGGCAACGCAAACAGCAATGAAGGAATTGTTAGGGTTCGTTGAAAATATGAATGAATAATAGGAACAATGTTATTGTGTACCCTGTCCCTATCCTAACCTACTATTTCTATTTCCAATACGTAAGATCTTTATCGTATCCAGTCAACGGTCAAGAACTCCTCATCGTGGGTCCCACAGTCCCCATGGCGCGTGGGAGAATTAAACTAGCTTACTCGACTCCACCGATCTCACTCACCAGTCACCACACAAGTCCCCATCTAGTGCACAGTAGTAAGTAGCATGAAGACACGCAAAGTGGCCACCACCATCCTTGTTTTCTTCTCTTCACTTTAACTTATTTCCCCAACTCTATATCTCACTCTCTGCAACTGCAAACTCACTTCGCACTTTCCACCTTCCACCTTCCACCTTCTCCATGGCGCACCGCTCCTCCCACCAACGTCGCAACTTGGACCCTCCACAACCCAATCCCACCAACGCAGATCCCATTCAGACCTACCAACCCTCTTTTTTGGTTAAACAATTGACCAGCCTCAACTTGAGTCACGCTCACAAAACCCGTCCACCCCGAAAACACTCTCCTCTTGTTGAAACCCGTGTGCAGGCCAAGGCCATGACGACCTCTGCTATAGTTACTGTGCCTGCCAAGAAAACCCACAAAGAGCATCCCAAAAGGGCGTGTTTGGAATTGGAAAGGAGGAAACTTGATGAACCTACTGAAAAGGGTGTGGTCGAGGTCGAGAAAACCAGGACTAGGAATCCTCATTTGGAGAAACATGATGACGATGTTGCTGAGAGAATGTCCGTGTCTGTGTCTATGTCTCTTGCTCCCGGTGGGGGTAGAAGGAGATCCTTCCGTGGGTCACAGGCTGATTTAAGAGATGTCTTTGCGATCAATGGTGCCAAAATGGTTTCGGTTGATATGCCACCGTTTATGCAGATCCATGCTGTGGACTGTGCCAGAAAAGCTTTAGATAGCATGGAGAAGTTCACATCCAAGACCCTTGCGCTCTCCCTCAAGAAGGTACAAAACAAAAATCATTTTTTTTTTAATTTTAGTCGCTAATTAATTAATTAATCTATTCTTCTTCTTGTGTTGGGACTTGGTTTAGTGTTTCAAAACTTGTCTATGGTTGGTTGGTCAATGATGTTTGTTGGGTGGTTGCAGGAATTTGATGGGGTGTATGGGCCGGCATGGCACTGTATTGTGGGGACTAGTTTTGGCTCCTTTGTCACGCATTCCGTTGGAGGCTTTCTATATTTTTCCATGGATCAAAAATTATACATCCTTTTATTTAAGACCGCGGTGCAAAAAGCAGGTTCAACTTGAAGGCAATGGTGGCAAGAATTTTGCTGCACAAAGTCACAAAGGTTTAGAGTGGAACCATACTCTGTACATTAAAAAAGGGATCACCCACTTTATTTCCCTCTTTGTGGGTCTCAACGGTGTGTAACAAATGGAAGAAATCGACTTTACAAGGGACATGCCTCAATTGTTGTTGGGTATATCTACATGTCATGTATCTAACTTTTTGGCTGAAATCTAATTTGATTGTACAATTATTAAAATTTTAATTTTTAAATTATTTTATTTCAATTAATTGTATCTAGTTGCTACAAACTATAACAACAAATTTCTGCCTAACGATTATGTTTGAAGTTAAGATCTTCTAAATAATTGTCTTTATTAAACTAGAACCTAGCACGTGATCTTGCCTTGTTATGTTAGTTACAATTTTTGCTAGGGGTAACTTTCATCTTAGTTGTTATATATCTGTGATGACTAGGAAAAATATGGCGAGTAGTGTCCCTAGCTAATGTACCAAAGGAGAAAAGTGAAATTGCTGGGATATATATCAGATATCTGATATCTGAAATGATAAGGCATTTTGTTGTTAGTCATGAAAGGTCACAGAACGTGCTGTTAGTATTCTCACGTCGCTCTCGCTCACTACTTCTTGCCTGCAAAATTTGTGCATTCATTCAATTTTCACAAATATTGGGGTCCATGCCAGACCCTCCATTCTCGCTCTTGTCCATTTGTTAATTTAGGTACAAGTTCTTAATCCTATGATCGAGAATTTGAAATCTTGTCTTTTATTTCATAGTTTAACTCAAATTTATTCAAATATTACATCCACCCGAATAAAAAGGAAAATGTTGGCAGCAGTGGACAGGGGTGTTTGTTAAAGGTTCATTTGATGTTATGTCTTCCAACTCACACAATATGTGTCTGTGACTTGAATAATAATTTCGGTGGGTTCTATTAATTACGTGAATCGTAGTAAAGGATATTTCTATATAAAAAAAATCATTTTTTTTTATTTTACAGGTTAATTAATTAATTAATCTATGCTTCTTCTTGTGTTGGGACTTGGTTTAGTGTTTCAAAAAAATTTCTATGGTTGTTTGTTCAATGATGTTAGATGGGTGGTTGCAGGAATTTAATGGGGTGTATGGGCCGGCATGGCACTGTATTGTGGCGACTAGTTTTGAGTCCTTTGTCACGCATTCCGTTGGAGGCTTTCTATATTTCTCCATGGATCAAAAATTATACATTCTTTTATTTAAGACCGCGGTACAAAAAGCAGGTTCAACTTGAAGGCAATGGTCGCAAACTCAAAGGTTTTTGTTTTCCTTTGAGTTTGGTGTTTGGTTCTTTGCTCGTGTTTATGGCATTTCTTTTCTCTTCTGTGAATGTAGGTCTTAATCTGTGCGGATTGAGTTTGTTAAGTGGTTGTTGTGGTGTTTACTCTGCACGTGTTTAATTAGTATTCTATTGTTGTGTTTCTTTCTGTTCTGTGCTGAATTTACTTCTTATGAATGTTCATACTGCAACTTTGGACCCTAAAGTGCAGAATTTAGTTTTATAACGTGGTTGGGTTGGATTCTTAATTGTAAGAGAGATTTCAGAGTTATGAAATGGGATGTTTGTAATTATAATATGTTCATGGGAAGGTGCTGCGGTTGAGAGAGAGTAGAATGGGTTAGACAGACATTTTGCATTGGTGTTGTTTAGTTTTAGTGCAGACCATAAATGTAATGATATGTTTCGGTAATGTTTTTTATGACAAAGGTGAGTGAATGAGTTGAACCCGGATGATTAACTTGAGGAATGCGGATGAATCTTTATTCAATGGGATTCTGTAATACAGGATTTGATGGAAGGAATGCCAAATTGAAGGCTTGCTGATTTTGGTCCCAAATTACATTAATGATTAACAATGAATTTGACAAATATAATATTCTGGGATGCTTATAAACTTATCATTTTTATGACTGAATTGCATGCTTGAGGTTGACAGAGATTTGTAAGTAGAGAGCAGGTACTTGATTGGAGGTTTTTATTACAAGTATGAGAGACCCTTTCTTCACTGGCTAAAAGATAAATTTGAACTTGCATTGTTCCTTTCACTTCCATGAGTGTTAAATTGGGGACATGAGGGGGTTGTCGGATGCAGATCTAAAGGCCCATTTCCCTGCTGAAGCGTGGGATGAAACCAAAATGTTTGTTTATTCCATGCATTTGTCACTTGAATGAAAAAAAAAAATTGAGTGTTTTCTGTTTGAAATGGTTTCAAGCTCCAAAACAATCTGCATGAGTTTTAAGGCTCTGATTGTGTTTATCCGTGTGTGTTGACTTTGGCCCTGTTCATAATGTTCTGGTATCTGGATGCAAATCAATCTCAAAGGTACTTTTTCAAGGAGTGATATATACCTTGGATACCAAAAGGAAAGGCCAACTTCGAAGAATTCTCTAAACTTTGGTAAAAGAATCTTCCTTATACATAATTACTACTGAAAGTTTTCTGACTTGAACTATAGCTTCCAAAAAGATTCAAATTTGGTGAGAATAGAATATTTAAATCTATTGATGTTCCTTTGCTTAAAAAATGCTTGTTGAAGGCAGGATACTCGACCAGTCCCTGATCTAAGGAGTCATGTATTGAATCAAAACAGTGGTGATACTCGAACAATCTATATATAACCTTTTTTATTTTTTGACTTGAGTATTATAAGAAGATCAATCTTGCATTAGTCTCTATTAAATTGAGTGAGGGAAAGTCAAGGCTGTTAGTAAGTAATTGTATAGTTTCAAATCTTACAAGAGGTGTTTGAACTTTAAAGTTGTGGATTTTGGTGTAATTCTTCTGCAATGATATTTCTCAAGGTCTATTCCTTTAGAAAATTAGTACTTTCTTCTCCGTGTGTTAGCAGAACTGCAGCTGGTCTGATAGTAACATATATTAAACTTTTTGATAAGCAATCCCTCCTATTACACGAATGGCACTCACACGTGATAGTGTATGCTTTACAATTTCTAGAGCTAATAAGAGGATGGAATTCAAATGTGGGTTGCCGATGGGGATCTTCTAATTGTTGCTTTACATGGGTAAGTATTCATGCAATTTTCGTAATTGTAGAACCTTAAAATTTTTGTAGAATTTATTAAAATTCTGATTAAAAGTCTTACAGAATCTTATAAAACTTTAAAAGTCATAAAAATTTTGTAAAATCTTTTAAAATACATAAGACTTTTTCTAATTAAATTTTTTTTTTAAATCTTATTCCAATACACCTCCTTAATTTTCACATATCTCAAGTCTGAGGTTATGCTAATGTGACAGGGCGGAGATTGAAGTATGTAAATCACTTCATCCAAGTGTCCGTGTTGTCATCTTACAAGCATTATGTGACATTCGTTTTTTTATCCCTTTTTGTGTATATTGTACGAGTAATGTAATGATCAGATCAAATTTGAGTAATATTTTGTAGCAAGAAGATATTCGAAGTTATAATAAACATGATGTTCAACTTTCAACATTCCGTAAAGAGCGTATTGGAGGTGATTCGCATGGAACTTCTTACTGGTAATAAACTTTTCTTTTTGTGTCGCCATGATTGTGTTGGATCTAAGATTTTGGTATCATGAAAATTGGAGAAGGAAAAGTCGAAGAACGTGTGAATGTTAGAGACTTAAAGCACTACAAGGGTGGAAGGAAGAATGTATGAATATGATTATATGAATGATATGAAGTAGAATTAGTGGTTTTATAACCGAACATGAAGATCAATTGTACTTTAATGCAAATTGTTAACCAAATAATTGAGGCAAGAAATTGGATTTCCCTTGTTTTGTATGAGAAAATTTATCGAGAATAACGACGATCTAAAAAGGGTGACCCAGATCTCCTAAATGCTCGTGTTCATGTTACACTTTTGCGATCCCGTTTTGTCCATTACTCATATCCAAAGGTATCTTTGGCACATCCTCCTATGGCCCTACAAACCCTGTAGTTCATCCCACCGCTGCTATTATAAACGACAAACTTTAGTTACATATTTAGGCTTTTATTTTTTTTATTACAATCAAATTAAATATGTACAACAATTACATGAGTTATAAAGTATTTACTAAAGTACCACATTCTACTGTGCTGGGGAATTTTTTTTTTTTTTTTTGCACAAACTGGTTGCTGAGAAATGGGAATTGACCATTTGATTTTCTCAAAGCAGTTTTATGTTTATTTTATTTTAATTTATTTAATTCTAATTTTAAATTTAAATTTTAAAAATTAATTTGAATTAAGTTAACTTTTGAAAGATAATTAAATAATTAGTGAATAAGATTATTATTTTATAATTAATTTTTTTATTTTGTAGAGTTTAAGAATTATATTTTAGAAATTTAATTTAATTAGCTCGTGGTGAAAATTGGTATTAAAATTATTATTTTGTGATTAAAATTGTTATTTTATAGAATTTAGTAATTATATTTAAGAATAAAAGAGAGAATAATAAAATTCATTTGTGACATTGATTGAAATACATTAAATTAAAGGAAACAAAAAAAAGTAACACATAAATTATTGAGTTTTTTGGATAGGAATTGGAGCTCTCAAGTTAGGGAGGTGTTGTCATCATTGGTTCATGTTATTTGGATGATTTGGCTTAAAATGAATAATGCTTGTTTCATAAATAAAGATTTTAGCTTCAACCAGTTTATATCTATGATAATCTTTGCGTTGGTATTATCTAGTTTTTTTGCGAAAAAGGCATATTTTCATTCTTGGAATGATGTTCACATATTAAAACATTTTCAAGTTATTATATGATCTCTAATACCGTTTATAACAAAATAGATTGATTGATTCCTTCCAAGGTTTGTGAAGTGCAATATGGATGGTGGTGCCAATGGATCTCTCTCTCTCTATTTTTTATTTTTTATTTTTTATTTTGAAGTTGATGGAGATGCATCGTAGATTCGTCCAAATAAATACACACATCAAGTGTCACGTCGTTTTATTAGTCAAAAAACATTCTATTGTTATTAGTGCATTTAGCATCATGTTGCACTAGTTTTGCATGGTTCTGCTTTTAGTAATGTGTAAATATAACCAAATTAATTGGTATCAGCATACCTGGATAGGCTTAAGCACAGGCTCTTGTTGGCTCCCAGTCACAATCTAGAGCTTAATTTATTGGGTGAACGACAAAATATGGTTGGCACAAAAATATTTTTTATTTGGGAAAAATGTATTTTTAGTCACTATATAGTATACTTTTTCTTAAATATGGTCAAGATTCTTATATTTTTATATCCATGAGTTTGATTCTTAAACTTTAAAAAATATGTGAATTTAGTCTTTTTTCTCCAAA